AACAACTCTCCATGCATAATTGACCCAAATAAAGTGGTCGCCGTCCAAACTTAGCTCCATTACGATGTTTTGGTTCTGTGCAGTCTCAGCTTGCAGACGTAATCTTTCGGTAGCCAGGACGCGTGCAGACTCATTATGTTCAACGGCTTTCCGTGCCGGTTGTTCTGGCGAAAGAGACGAGAATGAAAGATCTTTTGGAGCATCATCTCTGGAACGCCTTCCCTGACTCATCGGCCTTGACAACCGAAGTCGACTTTCATCATCGGCCATAAGACGTAGCTCCTCCTGGCGACTGCGGGCAGTGGGTGTAGGCGCTGGAAGATGCTCATCGGGTGGCTTCAAGACGAACATTAGGGGTTCGTCTTGCTCGTCCTCATTATCATCGAAATTCCAGAATTGCTTTTCGGCCTCCCACCATTCGACTACACGGCTGAGACTGGCAACGGCAAGTAGGACTTGCACATACCAGTTCCGCCCATGCCAATCTGGATGCTCATCCCACGCCTTACCAATAGCCTGTACCCGTTGAACGAGTGACTCGCAAACTTTAGGCTGGGCTGTGAGTGAGGCTGTTGACATATCGGTGACATCTGTTGCTACGCCAATGAGGTCATAAAGCGCGGTCATGATGGGATCAATAGGGTCATCCAGTAGTATGCGAGAAGAGCGACGATTGATGGAAGAAGGCAAAGGAATGGCCTCGGAAAAGCTACTGTGTGTTGCGGCCGGCGGAAGTGGGGATCTAGACCGGGAGGTCGAGCGGGAACTCTGGCCGGATTTAACTGGACGGATGGGAATGTGAACGCTGCGTGAAAGTCTACGGGAAGATATACTCTGAGCAGGCCAAGCCGTGGGAGGCATCGCATTGGACTGCTTGCGAGGATTGACAACGTCTGCCAGCGTGGCAGACGCAACAATGGGGCTAGGGACATAATTACTGGAAGATGGCGTGGAAGCAACTTGTTTCTCCCATGTCGAATTGCTATACCTTCGCAAGGAGGGACTGAGGGAAGAGTTTGATGCTGCAAGGAGACCGGGTGATGAGACCCGATGAGTCAGAGAGGGAAACTTTGTACTGTCGTCCTCTGGTAACGCACGTTGTCGACTATGGCTTCTTTCTTGTTCAAGCTCATAGCCACTGTCAGAATAAGTATCAGCCTGGGAAGCAGGCCGAGGATCCGAAGAGTGGTATACGAAGGCCTCACGAAGAGGCTCTGCGTCACCGTACTGAGAGTCACGGTCGAAGTCCCTGTCCCGATAGTCACGATCGATGTCGCGTTCTTGGTCACCATCGCGAAGTCTCTCTTCGAAGAAGGCAGTGATATTGTTTATCACACGACGTAGCTCCTTGTCACAATCTGCCTTTGCGGTCTTGAGACGACGAGTGACATGTCGCCGAACGAAAGGCATGGAGACGGTATTTGAACCTGAACCATAGGAGGTGCTACTGTTTGACTGAGAAATAGGCTGTGGTAGCACCGACTCTGGAGCGAATACGAGGGGACTTGGGGGTTGACGACGATGAATACTGGCAAAATCAGACATGTATGCCTGTCAGACAATGCCAGACCAGGGTACTAGAAATAGTATGCCGCTAGGAGGCTGTAAGCGATAGTCAGACTTAGAAGAGAGAAGTATTTAAACTGACTTGGAAGAGAGATGATGATGGTAATTAAAGGTCAAGTTAACATGAGGAAGACTTGCAGGAATTATGATTCTGAAAGTGTGAAAAGGAGGTGAAGAGAGAGATCAGGAGCGGGATCGTTTTGAAACCAAGCTCAGCCTGTCTATAGCTAGAAACGGTTTAAGACGGATTCTTCACGAGTCACGACAATCCGTTAAACTACAAATCCCACTATCAATACACAATATATTATAATTTCGCTTTTTAAACGGACTACGCCCAATCCTTGAATCTACGGAGCTTGATAGTTCAAGTTCAATAATTTATTAACATTAATATCGGTGACTGGGGGTCGCACACCAATCTATAGGCAATCTCCGACCCCGTGAGAATTAAACCCATTTATTCGGAATTACATAATTGCCGCTCCTCCTCTGCAATTCTGCCACAACATCACACAGACCGCATGCTATCGCTTTTTCGCGCCTTTGCCCGACAGTGTCCGCATTCCAGGGCCTGCTTTCCTCCTGTATCTAGATCCCTTCATTCACCATTACAGAATGACCAGATACATTTGAGCACCATCCTCGATGAGCTCTCCGAGGCAAGCGCACCTGCAGGTAAGTTACAATTTCAAGGTTACCTGTACCCTCATATCAATTTTATTTAGCAAGCAACCCAAATGCACCATGGATGCAGCAGGGCGTGCGCAGAAGGTTCGATCATAAACTGGTTTGTCAATGAAAAGCTCGTCCCATATTTTATAGTGCTCATACAAATCTCAGTTCATAAGACCTCATTACTTCTCACACGATCACCGGTTCAAAGGCCCTCCGCCATTTTCGAAACGACCTCTCATCGGTCCTGGAAAAAAAAAGGCGAAGCGACAGGACGTCTTCTACCGCTTGGGCATTGATCCTTTACAAGAGGCTTCCAATGATGTCCTCATGAGCTCTTTTGTCACCGAAATGGGAAAAATTAAGCACCGCGCTGAGACTGGCCTCACCACGAAAACACAGCGCAGGTTGGGCAAAGCCATCCGTCGAGCGAAAATGATGGGCGTCATACCCGTACTCAGTAGTGCAAGGCTTCCTTGGAATTAACATTAATCATTACTCCTCTCCCGCCTGTTTATCCGCATCTACTCTTGTTGATCTATCAATACTTTTTTCGTTCACCTGTTGCCTTAATCAATTTGTGGAACCGGCACCAATCGTCCAGCTGAGCGACAAGTCAATTTCCTTCTCGGCAGTCTTGTTCCTCTTGGCAGATGTAGCCCCACAGTCTTGTGTCTCTGGAAACAAAAGGACACGCGGCTGATCTTTCGCTCTCCATCTTCGCTTGCGGTGGTAGGATGGCCCCCGCCTGATGGCGGAATTTATACTCGCGTCCTTAAAGCTAGACTGCCGGCGGGTGAAGATCACGCTCGAGCTATACCGCGTCGATGATTTCTTTGACAGCGGTTAATTGCACTAGCAATGTCCACAGGCGTACAGATTACATATGAAAAAGGGACACTGTCTTCCTTACATGGCAGTTAGTTGTGACAAAAGGACGGAAGGCTACCCGTAGATACGCACACTATCGTGGTCACTAGACAGTGCCAGCTGAGATCCCTCCTACCCGATGAAATCTCGCAAGCGCCCGAACCAACCTAGAGTCCAACTTGAACTCACTCACGATGGCTGCGATAGACGAAGTACACTCGAAGTTGGTAGTCTTGTCCCTGAGTGCTACTCGGTGTCGAGGGTCTCACTGTCATATTACACTCAGCCGTTCAGAAATAGCTCTATCATCTGAAAATCCAAAACCTTCTGGTCGAACTTAATTTCACATCGCCGCGATGGGTAAGGCATGATGCATGATGCATCATAAAGTGCTACACAGCCATGTGACAATTTGAAAGGTTCTGCTCTGTGGGACCCTTTCGACTTTGAACTCTTGGCTTCTGTCTCCATCACGCAGAACTCCGCGAGTTAACTGCGAGCCCGATATACTTCTGAATGACACCCATGGGAATGCAAAAGAAGTCCGACGAAAGAGAATCTATAGTTCGGCCAGTAACATCGTACCCAGGTTCTGCACCACCTGGTTCCCAATTGCTTTTTCTACCGCTTCTTCCAAATGTCGCTTTGGATCCTGTTTCCCCACATGCCGCGTCTTGAGCTTGTCCGCAGATAACGTCGATTCCTCTTGCACAGATTTGTTGTATGCCTCGGACAGCGTGAGCATGGACTTCAGGGACCAGGATTGTCAGTATTGGAAAGTCGACGAATATGGATAACTGACCTTAATAGCCTTCTCGTTGCTCTCCTTGTGTGAACAAAAGTCACGCAACTTCAAACCTTCTGTCCAGTTTCTCTTGTGCAGGTTCATCAACATCGATTGTTCAAGCTCTGTCTTGCGGTAATTAACGGCGATTGAATAGTAGTGCCTATTCAGTCCGTGCACGAGTGCCTGAATGGACGGCTTGTTGATGAGACCGATGTTGGATGTCGTCTGTCGCGGTTCACGCCCAATAATAACGGTTTGAGGGTTGATTAATCTAAATGCGTCAATGACGACCTTCCCTTTGACGGACTGAATAGGATCGATAACAACAGCAACACAGCGGTTCTGCATGCGTTCAAACGACTGCAGGAGGAAATCAATCGTGAATGCATGTCAAACGCGAGGCGGCATACTTCTTGTGTGTTGATATCAACGCTCGAAAGCCAGCATCCGAACCCTGGATGCGAGTGGTACCACCCTACCACCATCTCCGGCCTGAAAGCGCATGTGCATCAGCGCACAGCTAAGTAAAGGTGTATTCCGCTCACCGTCCTGTCTGCTTCAACATGTCGAGCATCTTAGTTTGGAAAACATGATCGACCGACTCGACAGTCACTGTGGTACCAGACTGTGGCATGGCGAAGACATCCACAACTTGCACGGTATATTCATCGACAAACTCTCCGAGCATGAGGCCCATGACCTCCATAGGAACGCCAGCTCGACCATGTTTCAACATCTGACGAATGATAAGCATATCTCTTGGCGGTGCTTGTACACGCCTCACCTTTAATAGTGCCAGAGATGATATGTGAATGACTTCTCCGCTGCACTGATCATGAGGTAACACATTAACCAATTCACCAGTAGAACTCACCTATCAGGTACTGCCGAATCTGACGGAGGACCCCGCATTCCACGAAGCTGACCACCCATCATTTCTGCGAGACCATCCATGCCTTCCATGTTCAATGAAGTGAAAGAATGACTGGGCTACTTTCAGTCGCTGACGCGTCTCGCGAGTCTATTTGGTTGTGTTTAACGACAGCCTCAGAAATTAACATATGCAAATACTACACCTCTGAAAGATCGGTTCCCTCCGCGTCTAAAGGACCGACAGGTTGGCTAGGTCGAAGTTGACTGTCCCACGGCCTAATGCCCACCAGCGAATTGTCGCAGGCTCTGAATCCATTCTTTGCACAACCAAGGCCTAGGTCCTCAAATACCCAAAATCAGTCCGTTCAACCCAGCCAAGCACATGAGCCACATCACAGCGAGCCTGAGCTTGCCATCTCGGAGCCCCAGAGGCCCCCTGCGGCATCAACAACGCCTCTTCAGTAGGTAACGTCAATTCATTTACAATCAAGCTGATATTTATCCAGGAATCTTCCCGTCCGTCCTGGCAATACAACCTCCAGTGGAGCTCACCCATTCCAAATAGTGATGAATTACTTAAATTCAGCACGGGAGTCGCAAGAAATAGAACAAAAACGGAGACTTGCATGGGAGCAAGAACAAGAGGCCAAGTACACACTACGGCAGGCAGAAATGGAGCGTCGAATGCTCGAGATGCAGCAAGAGCTCGGTGCGCTCAAGGCGAAGATCGCCTTTGGGACTCCGAAAGTTCCGGCGACTTCACCCTCAGTGCAGACGCCTTCCGTAACGGATCAACAGTCCACACCAATGACTTCGCCCGTGTTGTCCCATTCTTCTACAATCGCAGGGCACTATGCATCGCCCGATCTAGGACATGCTGCATCACCCCCTATTTTACCTCACACGTCAGCTTCAGAACCGCCTGCTGGTTCTCCTTCTGTTGGCAACACCACAGGCTCAGCTCATGCATCCCCCCTTCTTTCTAGGCCAGCACGGTTTATTAACGTTGATCCCTCATCCTCCCGACATGGCAGCTCATCTAATCCGCGCAAGAGACCCACGATTGATACCACGAGTGATGAAGATGATAGTGACGGCTCTGAGTATTCATTAGTAGAACGACCCATAAAACGAAAAAATCATCATGACACTCGCTGTCTTACCATACAGGTAATTCCAGCACCAAAATCTGCATTTCAATACTAATAACAAAATCAAGCATGCTATGCGCAGCCATCTTTTGCGCGTCATGCAGATTGAGGACGACAAACACCTTCCCGATATCCACGCTGAAAGTATTGTGCTGGGCCCCAACGATCCTGTCCGTTTCGTCTGGGACAAGACACCTAAACAATCTGTCCACAATGGGCGAATGAAAGAACGTGTGCTACATGACCTCAGAGCCCATCGCCACCTGTACAAACACGTTCCTGACAAGGATTTCAACAAAAAATCTCTGGAGTCTGTTTTCGACCAGGCATTCGTTACATTCAGGCAGAAATTCAGAGCTCAGCGGGACGCCTCTGTCGCTGTAAACCAGAAACAGCGAGAAGACGTCAAAGCAATGCGTTCCAGAAGATTAAGCCGTAAAAAGACGGTGAGGTTGTCCGTTCCACCAACAAGATAAATTCGATAATTGACTAGAGCCACTCTAGAAACTGAGCAATCGTTCAGACGCTCGAAATAAAGTTGAAGCCTTCGAGCATGTTGTATTTGACGGCGCATTACAAGTGGAATGTATGTCTTCTGAGGAATCCGAAACTGAAGAGGATCCGGTCGTCGGTTCCCGTACGACTTCGCTACGTGTTCGGGGGCTCCCTTGGCGTAGCACTCGGTTACTACGCCTTTTCGATATACTGGATAATTATGAAAAAGCGGATAACTCACAAAAGCCGCGGAGAGGCGTCGGAAGGAAAGAACGATTTCATGGTTTACCAAAAGAAGGCCTCATTCTCCCACCTAAAGGCGTAGCCACTTGGATGATCAGTAAACGCTGGATAAGTGTGATGCAGGCGTCTCACTTGGAGGTGTTGAGTGGTCTGAAGGATATTATTCTGGATCCCGTTGGCTTTGATTGGAGCCAATTTCATGCCCTTGGAGAGCAGAGCGAGGACGAAGAGAGTCTCGACATGGCACGACACCATGACATGATGATTGCGCATAATGGTTTACACTTTACTCATCCCGATGATGGCACGGCTATCAGTGCTATTTCTTCTTTGTATAATGCTCTAGTACATACCCAGTAGGCTCGAATGTGAAGGCGATGAATGACCTGTGTCGTGTACAGAAACTAAGTGGAACGTTGAACAAGCACGAGTGTATTACGATCAGGGGCTAGTTACCATTCTTGGGAGTTTCTCACAGTCTCGTGCCTACACGTTTCAACGTCTACCTTGGCGTCTAGCACCTTCGATGATGTACCTTCCTCAACCAATCCTCAACTTATGCCTATCTAATTAATCACCCGACTCTTCTTCCAATCATTGAGCGGCTCTCTTTGCAGGACTTACTTTTACTCAGATGCACCTCTTCACCCCAAATCACGTGTCCTTAATTGCTGCATGCTATCCTTCTTCATCAGTATTGGCTTCTTCTGGTCCTGAATATCGTCCGAATGCGCAGGAGCTCTCCAAGCTCACATACTATGCTGCTAATCGCCCAGGAAAAATAAACAAGCTCGGGGGTGAGCTGGAAAAACGTGTCAAGGCAGGGTGTCACAAGGCTCAGTATGGAAATGCTCGAGCTAGAGCGTACGTCCTAGGAAGCCTCAAAAGTTTCTTGCAGATCTTTATAATTCTCAACCAGATCCTTACTTATCACACTTTCTGTCTTGCGCGCGTTGGCGGTAGAATGTCGACGTGATATATCGCTACTATCCCCAGCTTTGGTCGCATGCCTTAAGGTCACGTTGGATTCCCTCTCTTCTGACCTCGAAGTAGTAGCGCGAGCAGCCAGCGTGGTTAGTGCTAGACCTGCCCGTTCTGTTCAAGCAAAACTCACTCAGATTACAGTTTACTGCGTGGTGCACTTTCACCGACGGTCATGTCATTGAAGCCGATTCTAACTTGGCCCGAGATTACCTCGCTGTCTTACGGCGATTTGCCCAACTATCCACCGCCGATGTCAAGTCGGTTGATCACGAGCTAAGGAACAGGTGAGTCTTCTGCTTCCCCGTTTCCGACGAGTCATTATTGACCTGCTCAGGACTCGTCTAGTCGGATTGGCTGCTCTCACAGGCGCTGTGAATTCAGAAGCCCTTTATTGCCCTTCCAACCAGTACAAGCCTCAAGTATCAATCATATCACGCGCACTGCTTTTCCATGTCATGAATGCGGAGTTGTCTATCCTCGACGAGTGGTAAGTCGTCGTTCTGTATACGGGGAGAACACTCATCTTATTATGAGTTAAGTGCGGAGGCTATCAAAAGCAACGCTACTTCAATATATCTTGCAGAATTTCGTTCTCGACCTGTCATTGAAAGGCGTGCTGCCTCCATTCATGCACACGTGGACGGGGAGAGTGGTCCATCTTCCTTCGATGTTCTAAATACATCGTTAAGAGCACTACAACACATGATACAACACTCTGATGGCGCTCAAATGGGGCTCTTGATGCTGGCTACATTTGAAGGCCTAAGCGATCTTAAAGTTTGGGAGAAACTTGACCAAAGTCGATGGCTAGCTCAAAAGGCGTGTGAATGGGCCCAGTACCAGTATCGCTATGCAGTGCCTACTCGATTGGTCGAACAGCTCCTTTTGATTCAGGACTCCTCGATATGCACAGCCCAACATAAAGCCTTAGCTACTATGGTCCCCGCGGTCTTCACGTCCCCCGTACCTCTCGTTAATTTGTCCACATCAGATATCATCTCAAACCTTATCACTTTGGTCCTACGGCGTATATCGATTGATCCTCAGGATGCCCTCCTATCGTCGCTCGTGGAATGCATATCCTCTTTGGGCGCCCACATCTACTATTCTGACCAGATTCAAGACCTTGCTAGCGAACTTGTCAGCCGCCTTGTAACCGTTGAGATGCAAGGGGTTACTGGTCGCGACAAAGAACCTGGTGACCGCAGACGAAGTCAGGCTATCAGGTGTCTCCTTGCAGGTCTTCTAGGTCTCATGCGTGCTGCTGATGGCTCACAAGTGGTATCGGATGATAAACATACCCCCCAAAATATTCCCTCGTCTTCCATTCCACAGAATAACGATCCTTCGCAAAGACCTCCCTCTCACCTTTCCCGGCGGACAAGGGTATCTGGAGAAGTATGGCACGAGACCCTGAGTCTTCTCTGCGATGGAGACTACTCGGTACGGAGCGATTACGCCCATACTCTTGTTGATTACTTGCGCAAAGAGATTCCAAAACGTGGAGACATGACAGATGAAAACGGCGTCAGACGTTTTCGCCCTCTCATTGAAGGTAGCCCGACGCACCAAGCAAACAACATCGGCATTCTATCGTACGGCGACTCGGCGACACGATCGCTCCATGCTACGCATGCTTATCTTTTCATACTGGCGACAACTTCATCTCTTGGCATTTCATTCCACTCAACTCCTTCGCCCGCCTACTCCGCAAGTGGTGACATCCCTTCTATCGGAGTCACAGCCCCTGCTCCTCAGAATGAGTCAGGCCCCGTCAATGGACATAGCACTGACCCGCAAGGCTCTTCCCCTGCCCGGAGGTCACCAGGGCTTCTCGCCCGGATACGTAAAAGTTCGAATGCACAACGCTTGTTGGAGAGCGTACCTGAGAAAGTCTCGGCAGCTGCTTCGGCGTCCCTGTCAGACTATGCACTGATCTTGTATGTACTGTCTGCTATCCATGAGGAAGTTCCGACCCGCGGCCTTCTTGTTGGTCTCCCGATGCTCATGGCGCTCCATGGAACCACCGAAGTTGAAGACGGGACGAATGAGGCTTTTAAGCAGCGAGTGAAGGTGATACATGAGTTGCTTGCTCGCGTTTGGCTTGTGCTCGGTCGCGTCTGGGAATGCACAGAATTGGTGGCCCTCGCTGAAAAGGTCAGTTGCTCTAAATTCTCTTTCCTCTTCTCGCAGAGATTATTGATCAACGAGACCAGGCTTTGTCGACAATGGAAGCGGCACCAACCCTGCCCTCTCTCCCAGAGTTTATTCCTGGAGTCCTACGACCAGCACAGACAGAAGTTAGGTTCCCTCCTATAGAGGCAGAAGGAGCAGTGGGACTATGGTCAAATGTCAATGCCGAGGAGGCACTGGCGATATTAGTGTCTTCTAAGTCTGTTCAAGATGCAACAGGGCTTGACCGTCAAGGGCTACTTCGCCGATGTTCGGCAAAATGGACGGTAGATACGGCTCTCAGAGACTGTAAGGGGAACTCTTTGTTGTGGATTACTTGCTTATCTGAAACCCTAGCAGCGGATAGACCGAGCAACCACAGAATGATGGAAAGTGGTTCACCGTTATTAAAGTTATCACCTGCTCTTATGGCTATCGAGAACCTCTCGTTACAAAGTCTGACACGGTCGGTCCGTGGGGTAGGTGTGACTGATTTACGCGATGCGCTTGAAGGACGTGCAGGAGCATCCAACCCAGCTCTTGTCAGACGACCTTCTGTCTCTACCCTCGAATGCTCGCCTTCTCTTGATCTTCGCTCCAGCCCACTTGGGTTAACGCGAAGTCGGTCTAGACCCAAGAAGCGTGCTGTCACAAGTAGTGCGGGTGAAGTAAGAGATGTTTTGAATAGGTTGGGGATTGGGAAACAGAACGGAAGTAGCTTGTTGAAGGCTTCCTTCCAGTGAGTGTCCAAACCAAATTTGCACGTACGTGCCTGTAGACTGATCATGTGCTACACCAGATCACCTGCTTGATCTTCTATGCTATCAGTTTGAGGCACCACCATTCCTTTCTCGTCAGTTTCCGGTTGCATTTTCTTCTGATTCGTCTGCATCATGATCTGTCGCATCGTATTTGATCACATGTTACTTATCCATCGGATCCCACAAAAATGGACTTTAATTAGGATCGTTCGACGTTATCTCTTACCAATTCGTCTACTTTGAGCAATGGACACTATTCGGCGTCGAGCCTCTTCTTCTTTCTCCGCCCAGTAAGCTATCTCCTTCTGAGATTTGGGGTGTGTGCTCAAATGAGTCCCTTTCTGGATAAGAAAAGATTCTCAGAAAATGACTTTGAACGGGCCGAGAAACAACAACGTACGTTTAGTCCCTGCAAAAGAACCTCATACATTGCCGACTGTTTGGTAGCTTTAGCAACGTCGTCGTTGATGTTCTCCGTGTGGCAAGCGATCAATTTCGTGAGCTCCTGTTGGAGACGAAGGAGGCTATACAAACACTGAGCACAATTGAAGAGAAAGGAGAACTAAGTGATCACTTGGAAAAAATCATGGTCTCTTCTTCCTGATCAGTCAGAATGACGAAGGAATTAAACATTACAACGTATCTGTTGCAAATCTGCGGTGTGTAAAATTAGCCTGGCAGATGACCGCATCAGGGAAACCTACATTTGCAACAGACGCATCCGTTGTTGAAGTAGCTCTGCTGAAGTAGCTGGTGATTCTACCTTCCGCAAGCTTCTTCAAAGAATCACAATGTTCCGACATGATTTTCTGGAACGCGGGCCACAGCTGCAACCGCATGGTAAACAAAAAGTTTTCCAGGGGCGGGCAGTCCCTCTTCTGCACTTCAGTAATTACAGCCTCCGTGAGTCGGATCATCGTGAGTAATGGCACGGCGGGCGGCATGGGTTCAAGAACGGTGGTCACGAAAGTCTGTGTATTTTTGGCTCCTCGGAAATACGAAGGGGACATAAAATGCCGTACCTTGCAATATTCTAGAACAGGATCTAGGATTTGTTTCCAGATGGCATCTAACGGCGCACGCTCAGTCTTATCCATGAAGCCGGGTCGTGCTGTCACATCACGAGGTTCGTGGCCATTACCGCTGAAGGGTCTTGAGACGTGCGTACCAATTTCAGAACCAGCGTTGGACCTCCTATCGTCAAAGCCAATATCAGGCGACAAAAGCGTGGCAGTGGGTGAAAATATGGCGCTGTTAGTTTCCATTGCAGAAGGGGGCGCAAAGGACTCAGAGCGGAAGAAGGCAGCGATAAACGCATATTCTGCGGTGGCATTATCCATCAGCACCAGAAAAAGGGACCTGAGAATGGCTTCGATAGGTTCTTCCTACGTAGATTGCCTCAAAATAGGCATGATATCATAATGCGACCGCATAGGACTCACGTGAGTCTTGTCATCTGCCATATAGGCGAGGATGACGCTGGGTCCATCCATTTTTGCGTACGCAAGACGATCTTGATCTAGGTATGGTCCACCGTTGTCTCCGTTTCCTGAAATGATGGACTCAGGTTTCTCCGGGGTCCTTGTCTGACGCTCTGGTTAGTGACTGCATCCAGACATAAATAACATAAACACCTTGATCCATCCTAAGCTGCGAACATAACGACGAAAACCAGTCTCGTAGTATGTGCGGGCTGTACTAGTGTAAGCCTTTTGAACCTCGCTGGCAACGTTCGGCGCCTGCCGTTGAAGGAATACATATAATGCTCTATACTTCACAAAGATTGAAGTCTGCATAACTTGCATGTTCGTCGTGACACTTGTTCGTATTGGTTGTAGCAATGCGAGAAAGAAAGTTCGTAATTTCGTAGCTGCCTTGATTAGGGATTGGAGTAATGAGAAATGGACAATAATAAATCCACGCACTACTATGCGAAGCCCTTCTGCAACGTCTCCAAGATCCCTGGCGGCTTTGACACGAGACCGAACCTTCAGAATATCTAATCGTCGTTCAAGGTCAGTGATAGTTGCTATCCAAGGCTCCCCAACATCTGTGTCTAAGATAGTAACTGCAAGTGACGGAGGTATAGCAAGGTCTGACAGAAGACTTGAGAGCGGCTTCTCTATTCTCTGGAGTCACGGCATCAGACCACCATCCTGTCCAATTCAGTTATGAACCTACACGTCGACTCTTCAGCCTGTTGTCAATGTCTTTGCTCCTTTCCTGTAGCTCTGATATCTGGCCGGATACAGAAGAAAGGTCCTTTTGAAATGTAGACAGAAATGATTCCAGAGAATCCAGAAGATTTACGCTCGTCTGGAGGGTTGAACAACTTGAAGAGTAAGTGGCGTTATAGTAGGCAACATGCGTACCTCAACCTGTTCATGCAGGTCGACAAAATCCTTCGCTTGGCCATGGTCTGCATTCACTCGTCAACCTGCTTCCAGCGGCCAGAAGCCACAAGTACTCACAGAACAGACTTCGTTGTCCAACCTCAGACGCAGACCTGGTGTCTTGAGTCATAGTACCGCTTCACCTGAAGCAAATAAGTCACGGAACGGAGTGTCTGCAGTCGTGTGAAGGAATCTGTATCAATTTAGAAGCGATTAACTACCTAATAGCATATGCATTGCACTGCCACAAGTATTAAGCGGAATTGACTCGGAGTTTGCTTACTACTTAGTATAACTTGAACTGGAGCCTTGCCTGGCAGGGATAATATCATCTAGACGGAACGAACCTGTTCCTTCTATTCAGTCTGCCTACAGGAGATGACGCTGTATTAGTACGTGGACCTAGCAGCAAATGAGAGGGGAATGAACCACAAAGCATAATTTTTCTCTCTTGCTACTGAAGAACTCTGAATCCGGTCGCACATTGTAAGCTTCCTTCCCTGGCAAGACATTCGAAGTTGCGCATCTGGGAGCTACGATTTACTCATCAATGTAGATTCTATCGTTGTCCTTGTTTGTGTACTGACTATCATATTGTCTTGCAGGTATGCAAGGCACTTCACCAGACGTCCAGACGTCATCGGAGCTTCAGTATATCATTGAACTCGGTGGTCAGTGACTGCTCCCTAGCCTCAATTCGGATCTCAACAATCACACTCCTGTTTCCAAGCGTCTACAACTCTTGAGGGGAGTAGAATCAGTGCATGGTTTAATCTTGGCATTAATGATCCTGTGGAACCCGTATCTATACCAGACTAATATGGCACTATGACGGAAGACTATTCCTCGCCGACGAGCATCTCTGCCTCTACAATCGAGATGAAGATTCAGCCAAAATCTTTCCGATGCTACCAAAGCCCTTATAGCAAACAATTGGGCGTGATTTATCTCCGCAATCACTGTGTTTAGTTCCAAATACAGACAGTATCGATGTGCTCATGAACCCAGCGCAAAATCTGATCATCATCGTGTATGCCATTACTAAAGGTATTTTCCAACCGGGCGACGTGAAGTTCTTTATTGAACTTGGAGCCCTGGATGGAGGCGGTGCCCACCCCCAGGCTGCTGGACGAACACTGTCCGTGTCGGGGCCACCCCAGTGCGAGAACATCTGCCTTGAACCAAACAGTGGGAAGCTCAAGGGTTTGGAGAGGCGTATCACTCTTTGGTGCACGCTCAGGTTTGATGATGCGGGCAGCTTTACACGCGACCGGACCATATGGTGGTTGCAGATATGGGACTGGTGATACTCAACAACGTCCATTGTGAGCCTTTGATCAGATATAGTTGCCTATGGCCTGACAGTTGACACTCGATTTAGAGCGTTCTCAGTGCTTGGTGACTCAATAGACTTTTGTTTTCTCGGCTGTGATAGATTACTGATTGCCAGCTATAGCTTGAAGATCTACTCAATCGAGGATATGTCCCAAGCACTACAATTACTGATGCATTTGTTGTTGCATGTGTCACCGATGATGAAGAGAAGGTGCATCCTTTCAGTGGACGACATTGAACATAGCTCACAACCACAGATGCAGGCCCAACAAACAATGCGGACGTTAGACCCTCACCATCGACTAATATCCATTCTCACATATTATCTGCATCTTCATTTCTACTAGGATTTTCTTCTACCTTGACGTCTGTGAAGGTTCCGCAATACCATGGAAATGCCGTGTTTTCTATGACCAATATCCATGGGTTCTTGGCGTTAGTGGGAATCGAGTTTTGTTTAGTGCAGCGGATATAATGTCCCCGGGGCGTAGGCTATAAATGCTGGACTTCGATCCGTTAGCTATCAACTGCAGGCATGGTCTAGGACCTGATGAAAGAGCCATCTACAACAAAAATCGGTGAGTGAGGGGAGGACGTAACAACACCCCTGCCTTACGCTGAGGTTGTATTGGACAGAAGGTTCGGTTCCTGCAGTTCAGACGAGATATGGATAATAAGGACAGAATCTATTTGCTAAGACAACTCAAGAAGTCGTAGGTTTATCCTCTTGTGAAGAAAGCTTTACATGCTGATTTTTGAATCTAGAATGGCTTGAGCTCGAGGTCGTCGAGATTTAGAGCGAAGTCGGCTAGTGGTGAAGATCATGGGACTTGTTTAGACTTGGACCATAGATTAGACAGATGCAATTCAATGTGTCTGTGTGGTGACCCTTTACGTTTAGATTTCAACCGGTCTGACTCAAAGTCATGTCTGATACACTAGACCACTAGACAGGTTTCGAATAATCATGCCAGGTCTGTCATTATATTTTCTGGGTCTGTACCAGTCTGCACTTCCTTTCTTCCTCTTAAAGTCAGAGTTTGGGCACGAATCGATGGCTATCAGCTTTAGGACTGCCCGAAGGTTCTCGATGGGTCGCTTTCTACTCCAGACATAACTGGACATCAATTTTGACCCATTTGTTTTTCAGGATTGATTGGGATGCTTTCTCTCATATGCCTTGCGCTCTCCCTCTTTCTCTGGGGAGCCGGCTACTCCAAGTCGAAGAACATCGGTGCTGTGATCGTCATCCCGACAGGCGCATTCATCGGCTCGATATGGACGTAAGCTCATTCCGTTATCAGTCTTTGCACATCAGAGCTTGTCCAAATCATGCAGAATATTCACCAAGGTGGTACATAAACCGCAGCTCGTTTCAGTAGAAGCCACATGGACGTTTGCCTTGTTACCTTTCGAAATATGTAGGTCATTTTATACGAGAGGAGACCAAGTATTTATTTTTTCACAGTACTAGGTATCTTCTCCGTCAATCTCAATGTCGCAAATGTGCCTACTGCGCATACCGCCTACTTGTGCCTCGCAACACTTATATGGCTCAACGCAGCTCTGGGTATGTCGATGTCCTTTGATTGCGTGGGGGCCGTGCGCTTAACATGACTGCAGTTGTCATATACGTGACAACCATCATTCTCCTCGCCCTTCTTACTCAGGTTTTGCATGATCAGGATGTTTGGTCTCGTGACATTGATTCGAGTCCGTCTCCGTTCCCACTGCATATCATCGTTTCATACGCCTTTTCGTCTCTAACTCGACCCTTTTCCTTGGTTACCCGTCAAAACCGACCGACATCCCCTGTATCAAAGGAACACTGTCTTCCTGGCTGTACTTGCTCCCGTAAACTTCCGAACTCCTCATCTCTTGCAGACTGGCGGACTCTCGGACCAACCTTGGAGAATACTACCAGCGATGTATCAAGTAGTCCGCACTCCCTCATCAACATTCGTGTCCCGACAGCGATGGAAAGACCAAAACCAATTGCCGTCACACTTCGGTCACGATAAACAGACTCCTACTACATTATTACTAGATGCATAAATACACCTGCAAAATACTGTGATCTCAATTAAGAACCACGATATTAATTACAGCGACGCACAAACATGAAGTATCTAGTAAGATTGTACAACTAGGGATGTGAGGAGAATAAAATATGATATGAAGCCCCCTCTCGTTCCTTCATTCCTACGTCTGAAGTTCATTCTGGAGTTGTTTGAGCAAAGTGGGATCTGTCTTGTTTATAAACTGATTGAAGATATGAATGCCCCCACAGTTGCGCTCAGCTTCCTGTAATGCTGCAGCCACATAATTGGTGAGCTGCGTGATGCGAACAGGATCGTTGTCTAGGAACTGCCGGGTACGTGTGGGGTGAGCGAAAAACAACGAAAACTTCGAAATTACCGACCGTTTTTCGACGATCAAACTCGACGGTGGTTTCAGAACCTGCATAGTACGACTGCGGCACTTGATCAAGGTCCCAGTGGAGTGTCAAGGGGCTGTAATTAGTATGTTAGAGCATCAGGATGCATTGACAACATTCACCATTACAAACGTACCTGGCATCCTCATTTTCAGCCAAGCTCCTGCTCTCTTTGACCTCAAAGAACACGTCTGTCCAGAGGTTGAAGATCTCGTTCGGTAAGCGATCAAGCACTTCAGGACGACCGGTTGATACAAGAGACGCAATGCCAAGGGCAGCTAGTTTGCGATGGCGAGGCTCCGACATATGGTCGAACTGCCATGTCAGCAAAACATGTGAACGGGCTTAGCGCTTCGCGATAACACAAGACAAACCTGCCGCCACCAATGGTCCAGCACTGCTTCCCAGACTTTAGCTTCAGAGAGATTCATAGTCTCCGCTGTTGCTGATACAAGCTGCAAAAACATCTGTCTGTCTGCTAGGGCAATCCTTGCGAGCAGATATATGCATTCGGTGAGCAGACTCGGGGAGCTCTGTGAATTGTGAGCACATGCACATTGTATTCAATCAGTACAGACAACTCACCTCGTCGTGATTCAAAAGTTCAACAACGTGACTAAACAAACCAGCAAAATGCATGGCTTGGCCCCAAAGCGTAGCGGGCGCCAGCTGAGTTAGGAACTGGAGACAAACCAGTATGTCTTTCTGATTGGTCATTATGGCCTGGCCTGTAAGTGCCTTTACAAAAGCATTCATTAGCGGTTGGGCAAAGCTCTAAACACTTAGCGGCGCCCTTAGGTGAGTGATAAAGAAAGTACCTGCAAGACGGCAGGGGCGTCGACAAACAAACACGACTCGACTATAGACACTATTTTGCCAAGCAGGTCTAGATTGTCTGACAACAGGGAGACTGCTAGAGGGACCAGGTCGATGAGACCGGGTCCACCAGCATAGCCCAACGATGATGAGTTGCGAACGGCGGCAAGCCAGAGATTAAGCGCATCTTCATCGAGGTTGATAGCAACCTTTGCTCGCATTAGCATATAGCACGTCAAGCACAAATGGAAGCCTTACGCCTTGAGAAAGACCTTCTTGGACAAGGGGGACAATAAGACTGTTTAAAGACGACTGCTCCTTCATCGCCTGTAGTGCATGAGTATGACTGGTATTGTAATGTCAAAAACTCACCGAGACCAGACTTGTCACGAGAACCAAGAGTTGAGCTTTGAATAACCACTCCTCGCCCGCAGCAGTCCCTAAACTATGTTGAACAAACTGCGTGGCTAAGGAAGTGGTAATAGAGACTTACACAACTGAGGGATGCCTTCTGAAATCACTTGTGCATGTGGTATAATCTAAAAAAATGCGCATAATGAATGTGCTACAGCGTTGCACGGAAAACTTACTCGAGGACCCGCGCGTTCGATCACCACGTTGAGACTCTTGGCTAGACGCTGTTTCGCTTCCATTGTGTCCGCTTCACCCATAAGCTTTAGGAGTTCAGTAACCGCAGTAGGCAAGTAAGGTGCGAAGACATCGATGTCAAAATGGACAGTCTATATAGAATGTGAACATAGGATCGTGAATATGTAAAAAAAATCTTACATCGACACACTCCCGCAAGGCTGTGGCGGCAGTCAAACGAACAACAGAATCCGTGCCTTGACCTCTGTCTCGCAGCAAGTGGAGCAGGATGTCCCAAACATGAGGATCGTTGGCTGGTGAACACATGTCGCTAATCCATTTTCCAATAAGCCATGCTATACGGCGCTTAATGATCGGATAGCTGTGGTGCTATATGAGTGAATGTAATTGTGATGTAGAAAGACAAAGTAGACTTGCTATTGGTTCGTCTCCCTTGCTTCTGCGAGGAGGTTATGTTGCAACCATTGGCTGAAAGGAATTACCTCTTGTAGGTGAGTCGCACAACGTCCGATAGCACAGTACAGAGCTTCTTTTTGTATGACACTTGCCGAATCAACCGTTGGTTGCGCTGGAAATGGGCTCGTCGATATAGAAAAACAGGCGAACTATATATTCACCAATTATCTGCTTGAAGGTTGTCTCGAGTAGTGGCGTGACATAAACCTTGTATTGCGATGACAGAGTCATCAAGACGCGTTCACCGCATGGCTAAAAAGATGAGCCTTGTGGCAAGTTGGATCTACATGTGGAACGCACTCGCAATTCATACTCCCATTGATCGTTTTCTTTGTCTTCTAGATTGACCCACTCTTCTGGATCAGACATCCAACCCTCGAGATCTGCCAGGTTCAAGGGGATGAAACGTGTCACGAGAAGCCGGACGGCATCCTCGACAAACTCTTGCGAAAGAGCTGGGCGACTCTCATCAGCACAAGACCACAACTCCCAAAGACAGTCAATACTAGTCTCGGTTTTTGGGCCACCTTTGCGAAACGGCGTCCATCTCGAGAGATTTTCCTTGAACAAGACCATGGCCTGGAGGAGAAAACGCACCGGGAAAACCGCCGTCGGAGCGTCTATGTGGTACGATGAGCAAAGCCAGCATCAACATGGAAGTAAACTTAGAGACCTTGAATTAGCTCTGGCGGACCATTGGTGGCTTGCACAACTCTATCCCAATAGTAAAGGACGATTTCGTTACCTGTGGGAAGCTGAACAAATTTATCTGGTTTAAGTTGCTGTAGTCTGCGGAAAAATTTCCCAAAAACGCGGACATGACGAGTCAGTCTGTCAACGGACAAAAGGGTGAGACGATCTGATGGTGGGGTTGCTCTCAAGGCAAGGACGAGGTTGATTCGAAGTTCAGACAGTATCTTCAATTGTCCGGTTGAACTCTGGAAAAGTTGCAAGAACTGTATATTTGATAGTCGATTAGTCACGCTCGTGGATTCTCGCATAGAAAAAACAAACCCAAGGCTCGAGTTTTGCAAAGCCGCCTTCAGGCTGAGCAAGTCTAGGCCAGAGCCACAGAGCCATTTTTACGAGACACTTATAGATGAAATGAGCCACGATGAGATTGTCAGCGGTGCGCTGATCACTGAGCGCTAGCGGCACGAGTGCGGAAATCATCGACGACAGTTTGGAGTAGTAAGCGAACATCACTTCATGCAGTTGGTCGATGATCTAATGGAGAATAAGGCTCTGCAGTAGTGATGAAATGAAGAGCGACATGCATGAACCATTGTTTTCACGCCGGCCAGTAGCTTGACACCGCTGAACTCCTTCAGGACACTGTTGAGAAGTCCGAGACCCCTGCGAAGGGCAAGGGTTGACCGCGGGTCGCCGTTGGGAGAACCACAGAGGACTTCAAGATTTGTGCGAATAACATCCATGATGTCGGCTAGCAGGGAAGGCCTAATCGAGGGATTAACGCTGCGAACCCAGTGAGATGACATCAGAAGTACCAGTGCGTGGGGTAATCTTGGCGAGCAATTTTCGCAACGATTACTTCATTACACTCCACAATCTTATCACGTCAGTCGTAAATTAAACGAAAGTACATCGGGTGGCGATACTTGCCGTATCATCTTCCTCATCAAAAAAGGTCATACACCGTGACCGAATCCTAACTCGTTGCTCGTCTGATAAAAGTCTGCTTTATGTCAGCGAATAGATCATACATTGAAGCGAAACACGTACTTCCGTGATCTCCAGTGATTCAATGCCTTGTTTTTGAATTGAATAATGCTTTGCTTCCTCACAGGCAGCGGTACTGATCGGGTGGCGGCGATCTCATGTAAACCATCGAAAGTCCCAAAGTAGTCCAATAATTCCTCGACGCGTTTACTCGACGCGCGGACTTCGGCAGGATTTTGGGACGACGCTTGAGTGATGACTCGATACAGCTCTTGAGGATCAACGACTTTTGTGACGTGCTCAAGTTTGGAGGGTTTGGCCATATTTCTTCAAGTTGCTATCGACAAAGGATCGGATAACTCGACCCTAAGAAGAACGCGGTGCCACTAGAAGTCCGAATTAGGTCACGTTTTAAGGAAGTAAGTAATTAAGAACCAAACAGACTCAAATAACGCGTCTCGAGCACAGTTTACTTCGTCCTCTATTTGCATGAAACATTACATGTGATCCAATCCACGCCATGCCAGAAAATACTAAACGCAAGCTACTACATGATAACGAGCTCGTGGAAGACTCCGAACCCGAAAGGGAGGAAAAAAGGCAACAGATGAGGAAGCAAACAAGGAAGAAGAAACGTTTGCGCCTGGACCCATCATGGGTTGATATAGAGCAAGATGTTATTGAGCTAACTGATACCGAACTTGATCCTTCCGGTCCATCAGCTACTGTAGGTGGTCAGAGCCAGATCGACGAACTTAGTGGCGGTGAGCCTTTTTTCACCGTATCTTCAAAACTCTTGGTGCTCATGTCCTCTCAGCTTCCAGCTGTAGTCCACTGACAGAGCTGGCTTCTTCCAAGGAACTTGAAAATGCGGACCATTTTGTGATTGATACACCTCGACCTTCGCTTGTTGCTGGTGAGGCCTACACCGATCAGCTATTAAATCTCTGATTACTGAAGGGGTATAGTAATCGCTCCTGAACAACATATTAATCGCGTCAATGTACCCAATACAACGAACGGGCCCTATACCACCCAGAATATGTCCGGTATGAACCGCACTTCTACATACCCCACCCCGCCTCCTATTGCGACCCTGGAAGTGCCGCTGTCCAGCGACTCCGAGGGCGATTCCCGCCTGACACTGTCTCGCTTTGCTTTCCGAGCGCCCCTATCCAAACCTAAGATCACCGACCTCGGAGGTTTGTCGTGCTGGGGTAGTACTGTCGTAGCAGACAAACTTCCAGAATCAACCTCTGCTCCGAAAGCCAGACTGAAGCGCCCCAGTATCCATCGCTTCTCCAACGACTTCTCAGATGCGCAACTTGCATCTCTCACAACCTGCGTTAGCTGCAACTTGAAGTGGACCTCGACAAAGACTGCGAGCCAAAAAGTGATCCATATCCAAAACTGCGCAAAAAAGAAGTTCCTTTCCGATGAAACAGTTCGCATGCTTATATACAAAGAGACTCAATCATCCTCGGACCAGAACGTTTCTCAACGGAGTGACCAAAAGGCTACAGAAGTCGGTCAAAAGTCGGCCACTTTCCTGGAAACGGTTGTCAATGAAGGCTCCCGGACGAAGAAAGGCAGACGCCCTCAAATCTTGGGGACCGTCAAGTCTCTCCCTGAAACACGCGGTAGTATACTAGGAAGGGCGCGGGCCGTCCTTGATACTTCTATGCAGCACGGAGGCCCCGTCGTAGACGCTCAGGTGTCTAATTCCATCCATGGAGGTAGAAGCGATGTTCCCTGCACTCAAGCTTTTGGAACTAGCATGCTTGCTCGTCGAGTAAACTCGTATCCTCGTGCACAGTCGGGACCAGCGCTGACCCAGGCTTTCGGTGAAAGCGCCCTCGGCCACTTGCAATCTAACTTGTGCCTCGTTGCGCGACATGCTCAAACTTCTGGTCTGTGATATAAGCATAGTGACGGCGGCGTGGATCAGGGGAACGACCTACTTCTAGCGCACTATCGGGTCGAGTTCACCCCAATTTGTCCTTTCAGATGCAGATTCCACTTCAAACTACTCTTATACGCATTTAATTCCGACGAACATCCATGATTGTTATTAAATATCCGGCAGACTTGCATCGCAGTCCATCTATGCCAATCAGCAGCTTCTGCCTCATATCAGAACGTCCATACCAGGTCATTCCCTGTCATCTCTCACCATGACAACGAGCCGAGCCGGGATTGATCAATTTGTGATCAATGAGCGCTTGAACGATGAACGATTTTATGAACTGATGGCATTGATGATTGCAAATATTTTAATATCCATTGATTCTCGCTGTAGTTTGTAATGGTCTGAACGTGTCTTTCCTGCCTCTATTCATTTCCGTGATGCTATTTTGTAGCACAACAATTCTGACTATAATGTTGTACTATCGCCTTACATTTTGCCCTCAATACACTGTGGGAAGTAAATACCCTGAAAATAAACGTGAGAAACCCTGAGTGACATATCCCAGTGACGTAGTTACTGAAAAAAGAACCCGTTATTTTCAGTGTTCACGTGAGAGTCACGTCTATCAGTACTTGTGACACTGACTAATTTTCAGCGTTCACTGGTCAGTGCCATAAGTACTGAATATTTTTCAGTGATTACTTGGTCAGTGCCGTGAGTACTGAATAACTTCTTAGTGTCCAATGGACTCTTTCTGATTTCTCTGGCTCAAATTTAGTTTCCCTGCCACCTAAACGTGCACGCATCTTCATGCGCTCCACTTCTCCATTTTTGGTGAGTTTTTCTTCTTTATCAAAGTCATTCATGCTTGTCCTGGAAGGCCAGAATGACTGCTTCCCCATACAAAACTTACATCACTGCATATTCTCTGTACACATCAATGCACCTCGATGCCCTCAGCACACCACCTCAATATTCAATTCCTACGGTGGCTCAAGGAGAGCAAATAATTTGTTGAGGCGCACATGCATGCTTGGGACTACCGAAGAAGAGCGAGAAGTAAATGGAGATTGAGGAAAGTATCAGGACCTTATGTATGTCTCAACAGTTTGTCTACTTTTCCGATTGCTAATCTTGTGACTTCAACATATTCTGTAGATCATGTTCGCACTTCTGGGGCCATCTCATCAGAGAGCTTCATTAGGATTCAGTGCCTGATGGTGCGCTCGCATTCTCCTCTCTTACTTATTTCAAATGGACGCTTCATGCGATATGTGCTGTATGAATATCCAGAATAGAGACTGTTTTGCCTAAAACGTTTGAACCTGTTAGAACAACTATAAGACACCATTTCCGGATCTGAAATTGTTTCACCGCTGATTGTAAGTGCACGCTGCTTTCACTGCTGCCCCTTCGCGAACACTGCTTGCCAGTGAACCCTACTTAATACTCTTGTTCTAGTTTCCACAATGCCAAACAAGAAAATGAAGTATTGCCGTTGCTCTCTTGAATGCAAAGAACGTGGACGCCTTCTCAGTTATCGCCAGCGACTCCATCACTACAAGAAGGCAAAAATGGTCAATATATCAACTTCTGTTTCTCCCACAGAATCATCAGAAGATCCGCAGACAATGGATCTAGAGCATGAGGTCGAAGTACTTGAAGTATCCGAGTCCGATGCAGTAGCTGGCGATGTGAGCATGGGTGAGCCTGATGAAGGCCCAAGTCCAAGTCATTCGGATCACGAGTCTGATGAAGATGCTGCGAGCAATCATGCAGATGAAGTTGTTCCATATGACGAAGAAGAAGAAAATAATGACATGGACGAGTCAGACTCTGTGATAGGTGGCCATGTAGATGCTGAGGTCGAGGCACTGCATCATTCACTTCGTGAGTTGACTCGCTACTCAGAAACTATTTAAATGACAAAAGAGATCAAAATAATACAGGCAATACTTTGTTGACAGAGCAGGATAGAGACAACCTCCGCGCTCACAGTCTTCGCATCAAGAGTCATATGCCACGTGCAACATTCAATGAACTGCGGGAGAAGTTCAGTCACAAGATGGACATCGACTCTGAGTATAAAATGCTCAAGCGTTTCGAAGGACTCACTACCATCACGCCCATGAAAATAGATTGCTGTATCAATTCCTGCATTGCATATACTGCAAGATACAGTCACAGTGATCTATGTGACTTCTGTGGAGAAAGATGTTTTGATGTTCAAGGGAAGCCCAGACGTCAATTTTCCTACATGCCACTGGTCCCTCAATTGCAGGGTCTGTTTGCCCGAGAAGATACAGTGGAAAAACTCTTATACCGCCATCAATATGACAGCAGCCCCCATACCATCAATGACGTCTTTGATGGTGAGATCTATCAGTCTCTCCGGGACAAGTTTGTGCTGGTGGATGGCGTTCAGAAAAACTATAAGTACTTCTCTGGAAAAAATGATATCGCATTTTCCTTAGCAACTGATGGATATCTACTGTTTGGACGATATCGCAAGGGGCCTTCTGCGACACCAATCCTTATCCAGATCTATAACTTTCCCCCCACTATGCGCACCCACCACGAACATCTGATTTGCCTTGGAGTCATTCCAGGACCAAAATCTCCAAAAGATATTGCATCCTTCCTCGTCCCATTCAAGAATGAGTGTGCCAAACTCGCCAATGGCACACTCACCTTTGATAGTCTTGGGAAGCAAATGTTCTGGCTCCATGCCTACAACATTTTCAAGCTCGGTGATATCCTCGCAATAGAAAAACTACTGGAAATACGTGGCCATAATGGCTTCACACCATGTCGGTCATGTCTGATCACTGGTGTTCGAAATAAGTCTGCAAATAAGACTAATTACTACGTCCCATTAACTCCCCCTACTCAACCTAATACTCCGAACCTACACTGGGACCCCCTTCAGCTCCCCCTTCGCAGCCATGCTCATTTCGAAGAGGTACTGCAAGAGATGGATGAAGCAGACACTGCTGCAGAGAAGGAGAGGATTGGCAAGAAAAATGGTCTCCATGCAGGCCACCTTCACCTTTCTGACAGGCGGCGAGTAGGGTCAATTGACTTTGCCAAGTCCTTTCCTTGGGAATGGATGCACGTCTTCCTTGAGAATATCGTCCCAATGCTTGTCAAGCACTGGACTGGAAAATTCAAGGGTATGGACGCTGGAAAAGAAGATTATGAGATAGTTGATCATATATGGACTGAAATTGGAGCAGAAACTGCCGCTGCAATCGCAAACATTCCTGCTACATTTGTTCGAGTCCTCAGCAATATCGTGGATGATCACTCAAACTTCACAGCAGAATCATGGTCATTCTGGATCATTTACCTTGCACCAACACTCCTGCATAATCGTTTTCCGAACACAAAATACCACAAGCACCTTTGCGAGTTGGTTTGGATCATGAAAAAAACACTACAATTCTCAATCACGCATGCAGGGATCGATGAATTGGAACAGAGAATTGCAAGCTGGGTAGTCAAGTATGAAAAGTAAGCAGTCTATTGCAGGACATGGTAGAACATGGCTGATATCATTATAAGGTACTACTATCAGCATGACGAGTCAAGATTACCAGCCTGCACTCTTCCAATTCACGGAATGCTTCATATTGCTGATGACATTCGTTGATGCGGACCCGTGTGGACCACATGGTCATTTTTCCTGGAGCGCTATTGTCAAAAATTCAAAGTAGCACTAAAGTCAAGAGTTCAGCCTTGGGGAAACCTTAACAAAGAAGTTCTATATACGACGTACCTTCAGCAAGTGGTCCTTCGGTATGACGTCCAGGAGGAAGTGTCACTAAGTATTCGGAGGGATTGGTCCCAGCTAACAATGCATGAGACTGTTTTCGAAGATTGTAAGTCACCGTCCAATGACTCGAGATAACAACATAAACAGTCCTACCAGATGATACTTATGTTCTTCGTCCCCCTCGAGTGACTTCATATGAACCTGACCGCTGTAGCACTCGAGCTTGCGCTAGGCTCATATTCACTGATTTCCCGATACACGTTCAATGCCCGTCACTTTCTGATGTAACCCGCACAACCTGACGCAAACCCGACACTTTGACTAGCGGACCCAACGTCTCGGCCGCATCGGACCCGATGTTTTCCCGCGCTCTTGCCCTATCCGTGTCCCGTCCCGTCTTGCTAGCCCCACTAGGTGAGTAGTTGATTATTTCACACATTACTCACGTCGTAGCAAGCGCTATTACATGTTTTCCCATCATCCGCAGCGCCTCATGTTAGTTTACATGTACTTCAGACCCGAAATCATCGGCCGCTACTTTCGCCTATAGGGTTCCGGATTTCTATGTACTTACATATATATTGGACTGACTACGAGTATTTTCATTATCCAAGTAGTAGGGAGCTGTTTCCCGATACTTAGTGGTCAAACCCGATATTTCGTAGTTCTTAGTTGACATTGCGAATATTACCGCTCTTTCTATCCGAAATACCCGTCATTATCATATATCCGCATACCGCTTGCTTTCCCGATGTTCGCTATCACCATTCCCGCTAACCCGCTAAACCCGAACCCGAACCCGCTAACCCAAAACCCGAAAACATCGGACCCGATGCTTTGGCATCGGACATCGTAGATATACCCTCGGACTTTGTTTCTCGCGCTCGGACTTTTGACCGTTTTACCATTTCACTAACTACAGACCAATCCAATAGCTAACCCCTCGGGTCGAACGCACTTGTCTTGCAAGTATAGCAGACTAGGCTGTGCACGACCGCAACACATTTTATATTGCTGGCTACTTACTTTGTGTAGTGCCCAGCAATAGTTGTATCTCTACACCGCGATGAGCGGGTTAAAGTTGCATTGTATTTCAAGCAACTCATTGGTGGAAGGCGAATGGTGATTGTTGCACATCTCCCAACTGTGATGGCACTCTGGAAAAAAGTTCGTATTCAAAATGGTGGAGACAGTATTTGGACACACAGTGCCACCAGGTCATCCAAAAAGCAAAGGAACTTGTCATATGTTCGAGTGAGTCTACTATATCACACATTAGATCCAAACTTGACAAGGGCACTTAGTACGAACTTGAGTATGAAGACCATGTAAATGGAGCTCTTCACGTGGTTTGGTTGGTGCAGTACGGTCGTCTCGAAAAGATACTGGTTTGCTCGTTGTCGAATGACATTCAGTGGCTAGGGCTTGCTGGCAAAACTCTTCTACTTGCGCTCATTCAACCATGCCAGACTGAGGGTAGAGATGCTACCAAGGAGGAAACACGTTATTCAAGAAACCTTGCCAGCATCATTACTGACCTACGGAATGTAAAAGGCGTTATAGGAAGGGTTGAGAGTCGTGGAGAATGGACTATCATCGACCACAGAAGCAGTTTCGCAAAACCAGCTTTTGATGGTGCTGGGTATGATACAGATGAAAGTGAGGCGGTGTAAATGTTGATATATATATACATACGATCTGGAACATATACAGTGCTACTCGTCCTGGAAACAGAAGCCTACGTCTTGACAACAGAAGCATGCACAAAGTTCAGAGCTCGATGATGTTGTTGAAGGAAGTGCTAGCGAGGAGAGCTCCAGGGTCGTGTACTGAAATGCAGGGAACTGAGCAAACGATGCCAACAAATAAGTGATGATCACTTGAAGTCCAGGCGACTCACAGTGCTCCTCAGTAGACCTGATGGGAGGCTTTTCAAAGATGGCTGCATTGAAGCTTCGGAGGCCAAGATGGTCTGTGCTTCCTATGTACATCTCGTCAGCAAGTGGAATAATATGATATTTATTTGAGCGGTGTCTTCTTAGATAGATGATCTATAGATAAACACCTACAAAATCAAAAATCTCCACGGTCAGTGATTCAGACAAATACCAATGACTGATAACGTGGTTGTTCGTGGGTGGCTGTTTACACTTCCCCAAGCTATGTTCAGACAAAAATACTTCCTGTGAGGTCAGTAGCAATACCAGTCAATCCAACAGTATGGACGCAATAGAAAATAAAATAAACAGAATGTAGTCAGCCCAACGGTATGGTGATGACAAAAAGAAATTGATTCACTCCAATGGTATGGCAGTGTTTAGAGAACAGAGAAAAGTCAGCCCAACAGTATGGTACTGAAAAAAGAAATAGATTGATAAGGGAAACCCTTCCTTCAGTAACAATGCTTCTTGTAATAAATTTACTACAGAAAGTTGTGCGAAATTATAGCAATCACCCCCTCAGCACAAACAGGTAGAATCAAAGGTCAGGACTAATCAGTGATCAGTAGAACTCTTAGTTCACTATTGAACCTGCTGCCAAGGAACTCACGATGAGTATTAAACAGAATCAGGAACGGACGTCCTTGGATTTCAGTACCAAGTCCCCTATTCAACAACTAAAGTCTAGCAGACAAAGAAAACCCTGGCTCAGTATCACTACTCAGATGAGTGAGGTCAAGCGTCACTATCAACTTCTGAAGTCTTCCCACTAAGCCGGTGCTTAGATGGACGTAAAGACAACACAAAGATCTTGAAACAAATTCAGACAATAACACTGAGACGTGAATGAACTGAACAGAAAAAGAGACAAATGAAAAGAAACAAACAAACAAAGAAACAGAAAAAGAAAGAGAGAAAGAAGACAGAAAAGAAAAGAAAAGAAAAGAAAGAGACTAGAGGTTCACCAGTAGAAAATCAAAGAAAAAGTTTGCTCACTGTTGAGCACAGTGAGCTCAAGATATTTCACAGTTGTTGACGATGAGCTAAAGGTATTGCTGGATGTTGCTTACAATGACCTCTCAGTTAGTTGCTTAACAGCTCTTGTCACTGTTGTTGATACTGATCACACTTCACACTCAAATTTATTTTGTGGGGCTTAAAAGTTCCCTATATGCATTTTTTTTATTGGCAAAAAGTGGGGTCTTATATAGATAAATTATGGTGGCTGTGTTACTATTTCCCACGTTCTAAGGGGAATAGGCTTAGTCAGATTGTACCAATACTATTTACTGTAGTCATGTGCTTTATAATTTGTGTCATCAAGCTTTAGTCATCTCAAAAAGGTTGCTTTGTCATGATTTGGTTTAGGGTCATAGGTCACCTGACTGTTAGAGTCATATAACTTAGTATCATGTGACAAATATTAAGTAACAGACTGATTATGTTATTTGTTGGTGTCTTGTTATAATGTTACTTTATTGACCGTAGAAATGACGCGAGCCGTGTATTTAGAGTGTTAAGAAAGTTCCCACAAGGCAAATTATGCAAGAACTATTTTACACTGTTACTTGACATGTGTGGGATTCAGTCTGAGTCATTGTTATTGCTGACTAAGCAGAATTTACCGCAAAATTAAATATACAAGAATATTCAGCCTATCTGAGTCTGTCTGAGAAATGAAAATACTATCTGAACTGCAGTCTGAACCATAAAGTAAAGGAAGATTGTTCATAATGATTTCTAGGGTATCGGGCTCGTGAGAGAGCATTAGTCATCCATGCACCGAACCGGTTTGGTGCAGGTCAGCGGGTGCATACATGCACATCTGGCCTGCTGACTAGACACAAGACGGGGGTCAGAGGTCTGATGAGATATATGAGAAAAGGTGGAGTTGCTCACGATTGGTGCGCGCGGGTTGGACGTCCCGAGTGAAAAGGGCAGAGACTGAAGCCATCATCTGCGTCCTAAGATGGCGTCAGTCATGTGACTATCGAAACCAAATTTTCAAACTTCTTCAGTTAGTACCATTGGCATTGGGTGCCTGCCCATTCCAGAGGCCAGCAGAAGGTGCTCACGCCAGCATTCAGTAATGCGGCCATTCGGAAACTCACATTGGTGTTTTATGACTCAGCATACAAGGTGAGGATTTGTGGTGCGAGAAATGTTTCATATCTGAACTTGATACCATACGATACAGGCCAAAGGAAAATGGGATACTGCCATTGAATCGAGCAAGGATGGTGATGCTGTAATCGAGGTCCAGAACTGGTGCGTAGCTTTTCTGACTTGCAAGTGTCATTCCTGATCGAAATGATTCAAAGGATGAATCATATACATATGTTGGCGGAGGAAGTAGTGGCTCAGGTCCGTGGCGACGATGCATCACAGCCATGATTTGCGAGCTGACATCCCGCAGATGAAGGTCTTGCTTCTCGCGGGTTATGAGACAACATGCAGTGAGTCAGTTTCTTGCCTGCTGCTATCACACTTGCTGACTCTTCATCTACAGTCAGTCTTACGGTGAGTTTATTTGTCAGTGGGCGCTGATCGAGCTATCATGACACCCCGATGTCCAAACTAGGCTAAGAACATATTCAATACCCAGAACTCATATCGCAACACCAGCTCAAGCAAGGCTACGCACCTTCTCTGCAATCAATGTTTAATTACCTCACTCTCAAGCCCACCAATCTTGTACGATCTTCCCTACTTTTCATACTGGAATCTTCTCAATGGTCTACTAATCAACTTCCTGATCCATCTGTGGTTGTCTTGCCGAGTCAGCCGGCGTCATACCCATACTCTCAGAATACGACGTGGTCGACTTCTGATGTCTACTTTGATTCTGCAGCCCCGTATTCTTCTCTTTCATGAGCTCCTCAGGCTGCGCCTCCACCCCCTCCCGCTCCTCAGCGCATACTTCTGGAGTCCTTTGCTGTTGTTTGCACCCCAAAGTTCAGTCCCTAGTGCGTACCACATTATTCATACCACTCGTGTCTTAATTCTTTTCATGGTTAGCTTTGGAATTTTCCACCTCACCGACCCCCCAGGCTTGCAAACAATCTTGGACTGCAATGTTAAGGAAGCCTTCCACCCACACCCAGAGGTACCGATCTGCACAGTGCGTAGCTTCTCGAGTGGGTTGTCCACAGCTATTGATTGGTTGTTTAGGACGCAGACGAGGGGCATGTGCAAATGAAAGACATCCCGCTGGAGATCGTGAATCTGCGATGATGCAGGGCTCGATGTTTTCCTGACTTTTATCTATAACTTACAAACACAGCATTTCTGGCACTTGGCATCTGTACAATCCGCATCCGTTACCCCCTACATGCACATGCCTTCGTATCAGATACTACGGCACTTGTAAGATGACAGTCGTATCATCCATGTAAGGGACAGGCATGTCTACGTTAAGCATACACGAGACGTTGTCAATGTCTTCTGCGCCCAGAGCGTGTCTTAACAAGCGCAGCACCACCGGTGACTACATGTCTTGTTCAAAATTTTGGTTGTAATGATCACATGACCATTAACACAACCAAACATTGGCTTCGTTTGATGCAAACAACGTGTAAATAACCCCTACCGCTTACCACTAACTATGCCTCGCACACGGACTACTAACAAGAAGCCTATTCTAGGAACCAAGAAGAAGTTCCAAGTGCTACAGAGGCAAGTCAATGCACATGAACGGGAGGTACAACACGCGATCCGTAAGTCTTCTGTTAGTATTACTAGTCAAGTGTCCTAACTACGAAAAATCTAGGTGAGAAAGAGGCCCGCAAGAAACTCAAGGCCTGTCAGAAGAAGGGCGCAATTATGTGTCCTGATGGTACTGCCGGACGACATTTCAATTTACAGCACGCTATGAATCTAGATGGTAAGGATACTATGTATAAGAAAATTCAGGTAAGCACTTTTTTTTCTATCCACATAGATTCTCGCTGACTTTCTGAAGTACAAGATCATTGAAATTGCCAAGGATAATGGTTTACACCTCGAGACCACCATTAGATACCAGCCGCCGACACTGCTAGGCACCATAATCACATTGGTACATATTTTTTGTCGTCATACATGCATATATGCGCTAATAATACTGTTAGGCCATGCTCGAAATCCCATACCTCACACACTTCAAGGACGGCTGGCCCGTCAAAGATTTTTTGCAACAATTCTTGCAAAATCACGCCAACTATAGGAGAAGGATGGGTTACGATGCACCCAGCTCAAACAAGGTATGTAACAATGGCCTGTCATTTGACCATTGACTATTCAATTTGTATAGATCACACTCTCGATCCCTAACAAGTCGACTCAGACGCATACATCCACTGGTCGTGCCAAGTTGCCAGTTCCTGCAGCTCACTCTGACTCAGATGATAGTAGCGAGACGGACCCTGGGTCAGATGAAGACTTGGACTCAGAGGAGATTGGGCCAGGAAGCGAAGGAGGCCTGCCTGCTGATATTGCAGAGCTCTTCAAGAAGCGAGTCGAGGATTTTTTGAGTGAGTTTTCACTCCAATACACGCTACCTGCACTAAACATTTGCTTCCAGAATCCAAAGGACACCTTGCTCAAACTTCAGCACCCACCGACACTAGCCAGACCACCAAAGGGACAAAGAAGAGTACTAAGCCAAAGTCGCAGACAGCAACAACTTCCAGTAAGAAGATTGCCACTGCCACTGTTGCACGAGTTGGAGTGAGTAGCAAGAGGGTCAAGCCACCGGTACCAGTTGCGACACAACCTGAAAAACTAGAAAAGGTGAGTTGGCAGTAAAATTTGATGTGACCTTCATATGTCTCTTGCAGGAGCAAGCCCCCCCCCTCAAAGAACTTGGCCAGGGATGATGATGTAGTAGTGACGGCTTCTGTGGTACGTATATACATTTTATCAGTACTACCTACCTACTGATATTTACTCAGAAGCCTCAGCCACGACCGGTGCAATGGAAGAAAGAGAAGGCTGAAGTTACCCAGGCTGCCCCTTCAACTCACCGTCACTCTAGATCACCCCCACCATCCCCACTCCCTTCATTCAGCTTCTCGCCACAGGATATCCCAGACACCTGTCCAAACGAGGACTGCGAAGATCTTGTTCCCTCTCCACCTTCGCCACAGCTGATTCACATGTTCCACAGTCTCGCAGAACACATCCACAAAGAAGGAGAATATGGTCGCACTGTTCTTCGCATTACGCTGCACATCTGTTCAGATATCGCATCTGAAAACCAGTTGTCAGAAATACGTCAGCAGGTGGCAGAGTGTGGTTGGCCAGTATCTGTTAATTTCGTTGAACTTAATGATTTCACATGGTCATTGACAGCTGATGTTGCTAAGATCCTCTCAGATCGCAGTGCCCGAGCTAGCCACATCATCTGGAGAACCCTGCTGGATCGTGTAACCCACCATTGCCGCAACAAGGGAGTTACGGAGGAGGAGCACCTTCTTGCTTTTACAAGAGACAAGGGACCTGCAACTGCTTTTGTCAATGAGTTATCGACCACTGGCTTGTAAGCACTCGGTTTCTATCAAATGACTACTGATAACTTCTTCCAAGTAGTTTCGGTTCAAAGGGTGAGCATATCATTGGGCATGCCCTAGAAGCCATGTTTCGTACATCCACTGTTCCTCTTGATGCTATTTGACCGCTCGACCTCAAGAAGTTCACTCACTGTTTCCTAATTCCATATGTTGCTACTCGTGCAATTGCTCATCGACTCAATGTCAGTACAGCGGAGGCTCACACAATTCTCTTGGAAAGCAGACCGGCTGGGATTCAACTGCATCCTGCACTAGACTCTGACAAAGAACTGGACCGGATCTGCAGGTCAAACATTCAGCGCTCTAAGTCAAACACAATCATCATTCGTCCAAGTTGCACGACTCGCAATGAAGCTCAAGGTGGTCCACCAAGGTTTCGCAGCCGGACTTGGCACATAGAGGTGCTTTCACTCGATTCAACAAGCATATACTGACCATATATTCATTCAGACCACGCCACCTCCACAACCTGGACCTTCACGACATGCGAATGCCCTCAAGTTCTCCAAATGTGCAAGCCAGGACAATCCTTCACCACTGTCCCCTCTCTCCTCGATGCCGCCAGTGAGTTTGTTTGTAGGGCTGCACACCGTCGCCGTAATAGACGGTTTGTACGGTGACCGTCGATGGATACGGTTGCCGTACTGGCGGGTCTGCAAAGGGAGGCAGACAGGTACGGTGTACGGCCAAGCCGTACACCATACAAACTGTCTTCCATACGGCCGTCGACGGTACCTTTACGGCTTATACAGTCGGAACAGGGTGCTGGTTTACCCGGTAGCTTCTTGCCCTGAACCGCCATGCCCTGCACCACCAACGACAACGACAAGCTGACTATATTGCTACATCCGTTGCATGGGACTGCACACCATCTACCAGCACAGGCCGCCATGCAGATGTGTCAGATGGCAGAATGTCCCCATCAAAGGTGAACTTTACAGCGAGGTATAAGAAGCGGTCGAATCTGTCAGTGGACGAATTCGAGGAGTATCTGAAGCTTCCGCAAGAGGACTTTGACCTTTGCGACCCCATTCAATGGTGGGCAGGTCGCCGAGCACAATTTCCAAACCTCTCTCGACTTGCGTGTGATATCCTTTCAATACCTGGTGAGTACTTACTCCATGTCCCAGGTGTCTGTACTTAGTTCTCTTCTTTGTAGGATCTGCTGTTGCTGTTGAACGAGTTTTTTCTGGTGGTCATGACACGGTTTCACTGCGGCGCACTAGTCTCAAGCCTGAGACTATCAGGACATTGATGCTCGTGAAGGCGAGGCTTCGTTTGGGTCGTTCATAGTTGATTTGCATTCCATATGTACCGTACACCGCCGTATACGTCCGTATAATTCACCATACCATACCGTCCACTTCGTCCACCACCAATGTCATGTACGGTGTACGGGTTAGCCGTATACCGTATTTATACCGTATGTATACAGCCGTCTACCGTATGTATATGGCCGTCTACCGTATACGGTACAGTGTGCAGCCCTATTTGTTTGTATTCACAGCATATTTTCAGGCCTGATGTTCGAAAATTTTCCAGTCGCCCACCACAAGACCTCGTACACGTAGGACGACCCGGAGCAAAACCAAGGTGGTGGCAGGGGCAGTATCTGCTGGGGATGAACTGGAAGGCTTCATTAGAAGAAAACGTGCCCGGCACTGATGGTACTGACCTTTTTCCTCAACTTGTCTTGTCTCGCAGATGGTGGCCATACACCCAGGACCCTGGACTGCTGGCAGCCTGCTATTCGATATGCTCTGGACTCATGTTTTCGCTGGACCCTCGATGCCTCATTATCATTATTTCTTTTATTTGGACCGCATCATGTAATATGTACTTGCCAACTGAGTCTGATATCAATGTTTTATTATTGTGATCACTATCAACGTTGTGCAGTGAATTTTCAGTGTCTGGAGGCACGAATATTCAGTATTACCAACTCTTAATTTGCAACGTCTCAAACACTGTTTTTCAGTACCATAAACATCACAATGTCAGTGTTTTACTCAGTGCTATTCAGTGTGCCGTCAATCCAATCTCAGTGTTTTCGACACTGAAAAATGTCACTTTCAGGGTTCCAGGTACTGAATTCTCGCGCAACCTATCTTCTTGTTTGAGCATGGACTGTGATCATAATACCAAAACTCTGAAAGTCAGTATTTTGGACGCTGACTTTCAGTATTCTATGCACTGATTTTCAGCGTTTTTACTTCCCACAGTGAATAACTCACAGCATCCCGATGAACGATACTGACTGATCAAAATAAGGCGACGTAGTTTTACGTAATGAGATTTCGAAGTTCATCTGTGGAGAGTAGTCTCCAATGTTGGCAAGGACTAATAAGGTTTTTATCCCACCTACATATAAGTTACTCTCTCCGTTCAAACTTCGTTGCTTGCGTTTGATGAATAATTATGCCTGGACGTCGCTCTCCTGAAGACGACACCACTCTCCTCGAAGATTCCAAGTCCAAAGAATATGACTGCGCCCGGGATGAAAAGGGGAATCAGTCCGAGACACTGGATCAAATCCATATAGAAGAAGATGGCGATTCCGATACAACCTCAACAAATTCTTCGGATGAATTTGACTGGGACGAAGAAGAAGTCGCTAGTCAAGTAGAGAATCCAGAAACTGGCAAAAAAGCGAGGAGGGGCAGGGCCCTTTGGCTCGGCTTCATGAAGCTCGCAAGACCAGTCAGGGCTCTGTTAGTCGGCATTCTTGGTGCTGCATTCTTCATAATTCCGTTACTGGTAGTGGAGTTGAGGTTCAAGGACAAGGAAAGTGCTCGGCTGCAAGTCCGTGTTTGGTCCCTTTGGTTGTCGATCACCTGGGCAGCCTCCTGCGCAACATATTTGGTTGTGGATGCAATTCCACGCATTGTAATCTACATTATTTTCTTACTTGGTGGCCAAGTCGAGCGTTTGAAGACGCAGATTGAAGTATGTACTGCTTGGACTTCTTTTGGGCAATCCGACTGAATCAATTGGTGCAGTTGACACTTGCTGTTTCGGCATGGCTAAAACTCGCACTCGGTATTTCATGGGCCTGGATAGCGCTATCTGCAATCACGGCCTTCTACAATCCTCCTGGCACGTACTGGGTTATTATCAACCGTGTGATGCAGGTAAAATGCTTTTCTCGTCTTTATCACATTGACTAAATGCCATTCCATTCAACAGGCTCTCTTTACTACAAGTATCATCCTGTTTGTGGAAAAATTGTTCTTAAGATTTGTCGCCATCAACTTCCACCAACGTGCACTCGCAGATCGTCTCGCGGAGAATCGGACGGGACTGAGGGCACTGGACCATCTATCAAATGCACAACCCGCTCCCGTAAAGAAAGGTCCAAACGTCAAGAAAGGTCGCAAAAATACTTTGAGTTCTTTTGGGACTGCATTTGACCTTTCCGCATTTCACGGTAAGGGTCACCGCCGAGATGATACAGATGGAACAGCCAGTGGGCAGGTCAGTACAGCTGCTACACCTGTTCTCGAGAAACACGAACACGAAGCACACCATCATCGGTCGGACAAAAAGCGCCATACTAGACGTGCCGAGATGAAAAGACAACGCAAGAGGTATATGCCAACTGTTGTTGTCGACCAGTTGACCGGCGCTATTGGGCAAGTTGCGCTCAAGAATTCCAATTTTAACCGAGGTAGCGACTTCTATGCCCTGGATTCTGCACGGAAGCTCGCAAGGAAGCTTTTTCATGCTCTCAGTGTCACCAGCCCTGGACGTTCTCATCTTGTCGTTGAAGGTATGGTAAATTTATGATAAAGAAGATAACCTCACATTGTGTCTTGATAGATTTCTACCCTTATTTCCGTTCGACTGCTGAGGCGGTAGGTCACGGCATCTTTATGAGTTCATCCGTCTCACAGTTTCAGTAGCATGCTGCCTTTGCTATTTTTGATAAAGACGGCAATGGTGACATTAGTAAGCGAGAAATGAGGGAAGCTGTACAGAGGATTTATCGAGAGCGTAAGGCCCTGACTGCCAGTCTGAAAGTGAGTCCATGTTTTCATTTGAGAAATACTGCTCACTGCTTCATGTAGGACGTTGGTTCAGCCGTGGCGAAGCTAGATGCAGTCCTTGTCTGCGTTGCAATGCTCGGGATTCTCTTCACATGTCTCCTTATTTTTAACAGGAGCGACACGCTAGCCTCGCTTGTTCCTCTTGCAACAATCATTCTTGGATTTTCGTTCATCTTTGGACACTCTGCGCAGACGCTGTTTGAGTCGGTAAGCTGGAGTAATTCGCTCGTCTATCATGCATGTCAAGTTCACTTGTGCTTAAACAGATGATCTTCATATTTTCTACACATGTCTTCGATGTCGGCGATTTGGTTATGATTGACGACCAGGTGAGGTGTTTTCCTTACGTGAACAACTTGCATCGAACTAACAAGTATCCCTTCAGTACCTCATTGTCAAAGAATTTGGTCTATTTTCCACTACTTTTCGTCGAGTCGATGGCCAAGAAATTATCGCACCGAATTCACTGCTGTCAAGCACAAAGCTCGTCCATAATTTGCGGCGGTCAAACAGCATGTGGGAGAGCACGACACTAATGATAGCATACAACACACCCCTCGAGCTTGTTGAGCAGCTCAAGGCACGCATTCAAGCCTACATCACAGCAAATAACAGGGAATGGAGTGGATCTGCGGTGAACATCGACAAAATGGAGTTCCAGAACGCGATTCATCTGACGGTGGGCGTTGAACGTGAGTGTCTGCGTACCTAGCCCGATTATGGGGTCTGATACCTGCTTCAGATCGCCCGAACTGGCAGGACTGGGGAGGACGCTGGACGCGGAGAACTGCATTTATGAAACATCTAAAGAGCATTCTGGAGGATCTGGATCTCAAATATACGATGCCCGTACAACCTGTGCTACTGCCCAACTCTCCACGCCCGACGAGTGGATTCCGCAGTGTGGGTGTGGAGGTAAACACCCGTGGTGGCGAAGAGAATCTCACTGCATGGAAGTAAGATGGGATTGTGAGGTTGCATTGCACTGTAGTCCCTTATACTCTACATCTCAAATCTTTTTATAGTATAGCAAACTGGAACAGACTTTAGAGATCTAGCTAGAATCCTGTTGAATGGTGGTAATATGACTACAGTTAGATATAAACAAGTCAGTACCGCAATAGGATAAACCAATAATTCTAAAGGTCGACGTGTTGAAAGCCGGGAATCGACAAATTCGAAAAAGCAAGCTCGAGACAGAACCATGCTAAGTTGGATAGCTATATGAGGGCCAATGCGAATGATGATGAAATCACAAATATTATCATGCTTTCGGGCTCAAGGCTCTGTCTGCCAAGTCTGCGACCTCGATGACGCCGCCTACAAGGTGCAAGCTGCCCGTGACGAGCACGCTAACGTTGAGTGTCTTGCGCGCTTCTTCCACAGCGTCCTCAATAGACGGCAGAACGTGCACTGTGCCAGAGTAAGTTGGGACAAGCTTGTTCCAGGCTGCCTCAATCTCTCTCTGAGTCTTGAGATTGAGGTTATCAGTTGTAGATATTGCGGCGGAGGTAAGGTCTGTCGGATGTACATAGAAGCTTGCATTTGAGATGGGTGACAGCACTTACCGCCTTTGAAATTGCCGCTGGCATATGTCACATTACTGCAGAAAATGACCTTGGCAAAAAATTCTTCCTTCTTCTCCAGGCTGCCATGGATCGCCAGTTGCTCCTCCACTTTTTCCAAGATGGCTGTCAGGAAAGCATCTCCTGAACGTCCACTGGTGCAATTGAAAATTAGCACTCGGGGTGGGTGATCGTCAGAAACTGGGGAACTGGAATCTGATATCAACAGGATGATATTGAAACCAATGCAGATAACAAGCGTACACGGGAAGCCCGACTGCTGGGCTTACAAACCATTCCAGACAGCACGCAAGGCTCTCTTGTGTATGTGCCCCATCGAGGAACCATGTCATAGCCCCAAGCTTCGAATCGGGTACTGTCTGGCAACGGCCAGGCCAGTGAGCATTTTTGAGGCCGTCCATAAAAGATGTAGGGAGGGATATCAATGGTTCTATCTCTGATCCGCTCCATGTTGCGCTAGCAGCACCACTGATGTTTGGATCCGACATAGGAGAGTATGACTGATCCTTGATGCTGAGGAACGTATGCACCAATTGTACCGCGAGACCCGCGTTCGATCTCTGGTGAGCACCTGCAAGACCTATCACAACGAGTTAATTTTGTTGGTAATCGGCAAGATATATAAAAAACATGCCTAATGGGATAGTGGAAGGGAGGGCGTCAATAACTGTGAACTGAGATGCCTGCGGTGCAAATACGTATGAGCTACAGGTAGGTGAAAGACTTAAGAGGGTGCGAATTACCTTCTGCTCTACTGCACAAACACCAAGCTCCAATATGCCTTCCTCAGGTTGTTGAACAGTAAGGGCCGGAACCCCTTCCTAATCTATCAGTCAAATACTTATGATGTGGACCTGAAAAAGAAACGCGCCTTGTATATTCCACCCTTCTGATTTGCAATCTGACTGAGCTTTTCCCCCAGAAGCCTTGTGTGGTCGTACCCGAGGGCGGTAACGCCTGTAACTACTGGTTTGGGGACGATATTTGTGCTGTCAGAGCGTCCACCAATGCCTACCTCGAGAATTGTCGCATCAACCTGATGATTGAATTAGACAGATAAATGGTCAGGATTTCTGGCGCACCTTGAGTTGGTAGAAAGTGTAAAAGGCCATGAGCGTTAGGTAGCGAAAGTAGTTTGGCATGAAGGGGGTGGTGGCGGCTTCGCACTGAACGGGTTATTTGTCTAGTACGGATGACTTACTGCAAGAAACGGAAACCAAATACCTTCGTATTCTGGAGCAAATTCCATACTTCGAAAAAGTAACGAGTAAATTCCTCCTCCGAAAGTGGCTCGCCATTTATGCGAATGCGCTCACGGACAGCGACCAGGTGAGGAGAGGTATACAGGCCTGTGTTACTTGTCAGAGGACGCTCCCGTAAAGTCGGGAAAGTAAGGCACACCAGTTTTCCAGCCTGGCCTAGCTGCCCTCAATATTGAATCTGTGAATGCGCTTGTAGAGCCCTTTCCTTTTGTTCCCGTGATATGTATGACATTCAAATTATTTAACTGGGATGGCTGTAATGGTACTTCTTCATAAATAAGACAGTAAGGTTGGCATATGACGTACCTTAAGGCCCACTCTACGTAGATAATCAATCATTTCAGGTATAGCATTAGGATTGAGCTTCGATCCTGCAGCACGCACGGCCTCCAGGATAGCAGCATTAGTTTGAAGGCTGTTCAGTGCATCTATGGCGTCTCTGTAAGTCCGAGTTGGAATGGGTGTGGTAGACATCCTGCGTCCGTGAAAACGAAAAAGTTTTAGTTTCTTGTTATGAATAACAATAGTGAAACGATAAGGAATGCGCATCAGCGGACATGAAAAGATAGCACAAGATCTGTGGCAGTGGGCACTGTGGGTAGGTAGTCACTCAGACATCACATGACCGGGTACGCGTGATAAATATAGAACAACACCTCCTGAAACACGAACCATACTGTACCACCATGGACAAGTTTGTAACTGTACTCAAGCCTGCGCGCTCCTCTCTCAAGGAAAAGGAGAAATGTACAAACTCATCACGATTTACTCCATATCCTACTTTAAAACCAAAGATCGATAAGAACCTGAACCTCCCCAATGAAATGTCGAAGTCAAACTACCCAGAGGCTGTGGCACAAGATAAGGCGCGCTTGCGCCAGTACGTATCTGTTAAATATTTTTGCATTTTTATTGACCGTAGCACCCGACAGACTCATGGCCCCTCTTAAAAAAGACGGTACCTCCAAACCCTCTGCTGGGGAAATCACGAGGCACCTACTGAACACTCTTGCCGATGAGTCAAATCCAATTACTCATTCTAATATATATGAACGTTCAGGTGCGTTTATATCCCCTCTTCTGCTTTCGCATTTCATTAATAACTTTTTAAATTATCTCCAGATTATGTTGTTTCGGCCGCATCAGGCCACCAGCGCTCCGACAGACGTGGTTGCGGGCATAACCGGGGGTACATTGACGAGCGCTCTGAGAAGCTAGAAGTCCAGAAGCATGAGAATGCACACGACTTATACCCAGGAAAAAGAGACGAAACAGAAGGGAAAAGGGGTGTGCTGAGTGGTGTACGCGTCTATATCGGTGGCTACCTTGCGGGAACAACCGACATCGAGATGAAGCGGATAGTTTCTGGCGCTGGCGGTGTCACGTTGTAAGCGCAGTCTCTCTTGTGATCTGCCAAGTCTTAATCTCGCATTAATCGTTCACAGGCTTTCCCCTAGCGGCGCTACGCATATTCTCACGTCGCAACAACTCTCAGGTTCAAAGACTCATAAACACCTCGTGTCAAAGCGCGTACCTGCACATGTAGTGCAGCCTGAGTGGGTATTCGAGAGTGTGAGGGCAGGCCGCAGATTGCGCGAGTGGGAGTTTACGGCCATTAAGCCCGGGAACACTATGGATTTGGAAAAGATGTTCGGGAAGGGGCTGTGACTGGGAATATTTTCAAGGCTGGTCCTCATTGTGTGCTGATCTAGAGAATGTACCGATACCAATGATTTATTGTTATTTTTATTCCAATTGCTATTTAACGCCAATAAAGATATACAAAGATAATATACACCACAAGCCTATGTAGTAATCCTGAATGCAGTGATCGAAAATAGATCTACGTAGCTGAAATGTTTTTCTACTGACACCAGGTACCTGAACGCAAGCGTCAGGTCATTAATTCGATTTGTCTCAATGAACTTCGGTCCTTGTCGATTAGTGGTTAAATCATCGCATTGTGGAAACGCAATTCTGCGAAGCCGGAAGTTCGAATCCTCCCTGGGACATACCACAGACATTCTTTTTTCCTTTTCATTTCAAATACCCCAAGATGCATGTGCTATATGCTCTATCACCTTGCGACAAGCGGCCTTGGTTACATGTAAGATGAGCACTTCAAGCCTCACTCCCTGTAAAAGCATAGCTCCCTAAGCTACCTGTCCCACTCCCGAACTCGCTGCCAAAATCAAAATCACTTCCCTCGTCACCCTGACTGCTTTCTGCATCACTTCTCTCTTTATCTCCATCACCCACGTTTTCAATTTCAGCTCCACCCAACGTGGAACGCCTAAGGTTTCCGCCTTCGCTCTCCAACCTGTATCGATCTGCACTCCTCACTTCCTCCGCGCATCGCAGACATGTCCATCCGCATGAGCCATCATCTGCGGCGCGGAGCATGCGCTCAGCAAGACAAGTATAACAATAAATATGTCCACAAGAAGCAAGATACGGCGTTGTTATTGGATATGGAGGTTCTCCATTTCCCTCAGAATTATTATCGCCAGCATCACTGTTTGATGATGCAGGGAATGCCGGAGTGTACGATGCCAGCGCGCCAGCAGCATCACCAAGGTTCACGTTTAGGGAAGTATTCTCAGCACAAATTGCGCACTGGTCTGGCGGGAGGGAATAATACTTTCCGCGTTTTGGTGCGCGTATCTTTTGTGTAGGGGAGGGAGTAGGGAAAATGGATGAAAAGGTTGATGTGAGCCGTCGTGCCACGGAGCGAGGATTGATGAGCGGGAGGAGGAAGAGGAGAAATTCCTATGGCAGAATGAGTCTCCGATGAAAGCAAAGAAAGGAGAGCGTACTGTAAATGCGTGCCAGACCATCTGGCGATTCATAAATTCATAACTAACATCACGTTTGACGAGAGCCTGTGAAGGTTCAAGCCTCATCGCTAGGAATCTATCAATAATTGTTCTGTACCTGCAATAAGCCATGTCAAAAATTCCCCAACAACGACACGCACTGTGAGAACGTACCTCCCATTCCATAAAAATGCAACGAAGTTGAGCAGACTGAATGCACCATGTGCGGTCTCGAGACTCATCAAGGCAACCCAAGCGCGGCGACGGATATCAGAGGCAGGGGCATCTGGCCATGCATGCGAAAGCGCATATGCATGGAATCGGTTGCGGAAATAGGGCACGAGGATAGTGAGAGCACCATGGATAATTAGTAGTTGTCGTGAGGGCCTGGCTGCAGTATATCATTCAGACTTCGAGTATTTGCAAGAGATATATTCACTCACAGTTCAAGCCGGAACTTGGAACGGAATATCGTAGACCCTGAAGCATTGCGCCATAGCTTGCACCAGAACTCCAGACAGAGAAACGATAAAGTACAAGCTGGACGAGCAGTGCTAGCTCAGGCTCAAACCGAGATTTCATAGATGCCTGTTCTCGCATCAATAGATAACATACTGACACGTAGAAGGCGTACGTTGACGGTCGCAAGGGCCTTCGAAACCGGCTCTATGAGTATGTGAACAAGTTCAGCATCGAGGAGCTCAGCGTCTAGTTGTCCGACGCGAATAATGCGAGGGTTCGGTCTAGGAAATGTTGGGGACGTAAGAACATCTCGTATGGAGTGAAGGCGGGGCTGGGCAGTGTCCCATGCTTGCTGCCATACACGACTGCTCATCGACATCGATGATTGAAGCGGGATACTAAGTTGGAGTAGCCACGTGATTACTACATATTGAATTGACTCAGATACTAGATTTGATCTAATAACTAACGGCGAACGTCGACGATGGCAGAACAACTACAGCAGTTAATACTGGATACTCTTGATACCCAATCGACTTTACCAGATTCCCGTGCACTAAAAATCCCTGGCCAATCCAGCCCAGCGTCCAGTCATGATGCACAGATCACCATTCTCGGTGCCCTGAACTCGCTACTCAGCCGGGAGGCTAGTTTTTCCTTTCCTTTCTCTCATGATCTTGTATTGAGTGAACATGCAGATGATAACGTATGAAACACATGAAGTTTCATCGCATGTGCTTACGCCTGAGGGCGTCCAGATCGTGCGTGAGGGCTCGCATGAGGCTCGTGTCTGGGCCGCCCTCCCCGAACGTGGTAGTGCCCCGCTCAGCGCGCAGGATCTCAAGAAAGCAGTGGGAGATGAGGCTGCGAAAGTCGGACAGGGACGCGCGTTTAAGAGTGGATGGATCGCGAAGGAGGGGAATGGTTTCGTCAAAGCCGTGCGTATTTCGCGCTGATATTTCTATGATTGCGATTAATGAGCCGGTAGGTTTCCAATATTACAGATACGACACAGATAGAGCTGCGCGAGTTAGAGTCGTCAGGGACACTCGTGGCCGGTGAAAAAGCGCTCGCTGAATTACGAAAGCGCAAGCTTATCATGCAAAGGTTCTACTCATCTCTCCAACGTAAATTATTAAGTCTGACTGTTGCAAAGAAAGGGCCAATGGTTCACCGTGCATAAGGGCGCAAATTTTAGTACTTCGATTGCAAAACCGGAGACCGATTTGACCGTTGATATGCTCACTTCGTGAGTTTAGTGTTCTAATGCAGCAGCTTTGAAACTTATACTGCTCTAACCCTAGCGGCTCTTGGAAAAAATCCACCTTCAAAAAATACAACTTTGAAGCAGACGGGATACCCACATCCGGCGGCGCTCTCCACCCTATCCTTAAAGTCCGTGAGGAGATCCGTGGCATCTTCTTAGAAATGGGGTGCGTGATCATCTCATAGTGCAATGACGCTGTATTATCGCAGAATTCTGAGACACCTTGATTGCGCTTGTTACAGTTTTGAAGAAATGCCCACAGGCACTTTCGTTGAATCCGGATTCTGGTGCTTCGATGCACTTTTCGTTCCCCAGCTACATCCTGCACGCGAACTCCAAGATACCTTCTATCTCTCTGGTATGTGCTTACCTCCCTTGCCTTTGTCAACTTATCGAAATCTTATAGATCCCTCGACATCCCTTCCTCCGCCATCCGATTATTACGAACGCGTCGCACGTGTGCATGAGCACGGTGGGTATGACAGTATCGGTTACCGCACGCCCTGGTCACACGAGGAATCGCATAAGCTCCTCTTGCGTACGCACACGACTGCCTCGTCCGCTGCCATGTTATACAAACTCGCAGCCAAGTGTCGAGGCGAAGATATCGACGGTGACTTGTCCGTGAAATCGCAACCTGGAGCTGCAAATCTGAGTGATGATGGGTTCAGACCAGCAAAACTCTTCAGCATTGACCGCGTGTTCCGTAATGAGACAATGGATGCTACTCATCTTGCAGAATTCCACCAAGTTGAGGGCGTTGTTGCAGATCGGAATCTAACACTTGCAGATTTGATTGGTGCGTTGTAGATCCTTCCTCTATCTATTTTCCCTCCATATGAACATTTGCTAATAACCTTGCATCTACACAGGTTTCATGCGGACTTTCTTCCGGAAGATGGGAATGAAGAATCTGAGGTTCAAACCTGCGTATAACCCGTACACAGAGGTGTGTCTTGACCCTCCTCTCCATTTCAGGTACTGATTGAAACACGATAGCCGTCTCTTGAGATCTTCGCTTGGCACCCCCTCCTTGAAAAATGGGTCGAGATTGGGAACAGTGGCATGTTCCGCCCTGAGATGCTTGCACCCATGGGATTCCCACCTGATGTGCGTGTGCACGGATGGGGAATCGGGCTCGAACGACCAACTATGATTCGGTGAGTAGTCTTTCCTTCGCCTAGCTGTATTGTCCCACTCCTTCCTGCATTCTATTATCGTGATACTGAAGCTCTTGACACAGGTATGGTGTTAACAACATCAGAACGCTTGTCGGGCACAAGACGTCCATCGAGAATGTGGAGAACTCGCCAGCCGTCATGTTCTAGATGCGTTTGAAGGGGTGTACGCTGATTTAGAAGACACCGACAATGTATCGTATAATTTTAAGTGCACACTTAATGAGTGTCACACAAAATAAAATAAACTGAGGCAATAATAATTTTTGCAAACAATATCAGTGCAGTCAGTGTAGGCACAACTCAGAACAGCATCGTAAGGTAAGCTCAGAATGAGCCAGTGGTTCATAAATATTAACGACTAGTTACACAGAAGTATACAGCATGTACCGTCTACATCGGGCATTGCCCCAAGAAGACAATGAATAGAGTTTTTTTGTAAAAGCTTAGAATGAAAATACAGCAGCATTCTTCCTCGAGCCGAACATGTACACGAGCGCTTGGGACATGAACAGCCCAACCGTGATACCGATCGTGACGGCTATCATCGCACTTCCAATATCCACACCGCTTCCATCTGCTGTGATGCCTCCCGCCTGCGACAGACCCGACTACAAAACGTTCGTCATCAGCGAACCCCAAGAAACACAGCAAGAGATAGCACCCACTGGTACAAGGAATAGCACACCCGTAACCATACTCGTAAACGCCGTCCCGCCCATCTTCCTCGAATAAACATTCCCTAGCAATCCCACAGTGAAAGCCCCGATAGCGCTCACGATATCGCTCCGATTGAAGATATAGTGATTAGCGACTTTGTTGCTCGCGTAACTCGCGCACGAGATGACCACCATCACTGGAAGTTGTCTACTCCGCCACGGTTGCAGATTCGCGAGGGATGATAGGATACTGAACAATGGGACGATGACGAACTGCGTCCAGAAGGGGAAGGGCTGGAGGTACCAGCCAAAGTGTTTTGGGCGGTAACATCCATCGATGATGTCTGTCTGCATCACGTTCGTGTTGTTCGTGAAGGTGAAAGTACCGTAGACGGGTCCTAACCCTGAGGAGAGCGATGAGTTGCCACTTGTGGAGTTGTCCGCTGCGAACGTGCCGACGATGGTGGCGCTCGTGGAGATGTCGGCGGCAAGTGTGGTGAGGTGGTGTCGTGCGGTTGGATCGAACAGGAGGTATAGATCTGACCCAATCTGCAGACCGAAACCCAAGAAGAGCGTATAGATGAGGGCGTATACCATTTTAACGCTACCGCAAACGATGTTTTTAGAGGCCAGCTCCAAGGAACTACTCACTGGAAATAGGTCAGCGAGAGAAATGACTCTAGAAGAAGTACTTACGGATCAAATAACCTGGAAGAATACCGATGATTGCAGAGGACGAGACAGCCGTATAACAGAAGATCTCGCTTCTGATACTACTGAGCCCTCGTGCCGTGAAGGACACCAACATCGCTGTTGTAATCCTAGCAGACCATGAATATCACGATAAAAATGCGAACATCGAGAGATCTTACTCAAAGACGTTCGCATACATAGCGCTCTTCGCAGCAACCCTGAGTTGCAGGAAACACAACACAAAAGCGCCACAGCCTGCGATCCACATATCGATAAACGAACCTCCAAACGCCAGCGGACAGATTAAGACAGATAACCAGAAACTCAAAATACACCTGAACCACCACGGGTACAGCGGTTTCGCCAACAACAGCTCGTCAAGTTGCTCCGTCGCCTTCCGCGCACTGATTTCGTCGTGCACCACAGCGCGATAGATGATGTGGACCTTGTGTAGGCTGCCCAATGAAAGACCTCCACCGGACTTGATGAAGTGGGTTTCCGAAGTCATCGTGTCGTTGTCGCCGAAGGAACAGATTATGACGCTCGGTAGATGGATGAACTCGGCGTCGACTTCGAGGATGCGCGCTGCTGCAAGAAGTTGGGATTCGATACGGTGAGAAGGCGCACCGAACGTCATCAACGCTTTTGCAAGCTTGAGTAGGAAGTTGTGGCGATGGATGATGGCTGGAACACTGCAATGAGCTCCAGTTGCGCGGACAGAAAGGAAGACTTACAAGTAACGTTAAACTCGATCTTGATCTTTTGTTTCTCCTTTCTACGCCTGCGATAGTCCATCTGCCTCAGTGCCGTCCGCTTCTCGTCGTCATAGTCATCAAGACACTTCTTCCTCACACCAGTAATAGTAGGGTCATCCGGGTCCAGCAGCTGCGAGTACTGGGAATTATCCGTATTCGATCTTCGCATGGGCGCACCGCCCATTTCTTCGTCGTATTCATCGTGAAGCTGAGCAAAACGACGGCGTTGGAAAGGGACGTTCTCGCCCTCGGCATCGACTCCATACAGGTCGATGAGGTTAGAGAACAGGCCACGTCTTCTTCCATCTGTGTCGTTGGCGTCGCAATGATCATTGTCATTGTCATCGTCTTCGTCCTTGTCGTCATCATCTAGCCTGACATCGTCATACTCCTTATACTTATCCCTGCCGTCCGACGTCTGCGCCTCGATATCTGTTAAGGTCCCCTCACTATTCCGAAAGTCAACATGCCGCTCATCGTCGTTCCACATGTACACATTTCGCGGTGGAGGGATATCATAGGGGTGCTGATAGGACGACATTGAGTATCTGGAGTCCTCGCCTTCGTATAGCGTAGACTCTGAATCATTGTGAGCACGACCACGAAACCTTTGGTCAGGAGCAACTGGAGCCTCCGACGCGTAACCTGGGAGCGTCGGTCGCCTGCTTCGTGACGCTCGGAGATGGGCCTGAGCTGAGAAGGGATCTGTGAAGTCTGGTACTGACGCACGAGGCCCCCTGGTCGGAGGTCTTATAGATTCAGGGGTTTGGGGTTCGGGAATTTGGGACTCAGGAAAAATATGCTCAACAAACCGCGGACTCGGGTTGAATGAAGGAGGCCTAGGAATACGTGAAATGTGACTAGTGCTGATAGAGGGTCGCGCTTGTCGCTGCTGTTGTTCGAAAGAAGAATTTAGCGATTGCCTTTGTACTTGGCGTCGCTGGAGAGTATTTGTAGAGGACAGTGGTGGGTGACGGCCTGAGTCTCCATTGAGATATGGGTTACTATGTGACATGACTTGCTGGATAACAACGAAAGTCCAGCTTTCGAGGCAAGCACTGCGAAAAAGCTGATAGCGTCACTGAGGAGGATGCCGATGAAGGCGTATGGTTCGGTGGGGTGGTAGGCGAGAAAGGTAGACAGATATAGGCTCGAACTGGAACATGCGAAGGAAAGTAGTATCTGGGTCATTTCAATTTAGACCAATAGTCACCAAGAGCGAAACAGTGTCCAGCCAAATTCTAAATTGAGCCGATCGCAATATTGAACAGAAGTACGGACCATACGAGGAGTTGAATGTGGGCAGTGATTTCGTGCATAAGTCGCCAAGGTGACCTGTAGGCCAAAGGTGCTCTCGTCAAATGAGTATGCAGGAGATACACTTACGTCCCTCAAATAACTACACAAAGCACGGGGATTCGTCACGATCAAGTCCATGACTTGCGATTGGATGGATAGGTCACAGATTTTCACCAGTGAGCACATGATGTTGAGGCTCGTTTCTTAGATCAATCACTGTCGGGACGCAATCAGCGCCGCCTTTGAGTGGATAGCATCTAGCTTACCACATCTCGGATATTTGGCTCCATAATTGAAATGTTCACTAGAGGCCCAGTATCAGCGTCATCAAGAACCGTCATGTATTCGCAGTTGAACTTTAAACAGCATGCTCCTCCCACTCATGCACTGTGATACCCATAATGCCCTCCTCTGCGCCCTCAAACTTCCTGAAACCCAATCGGGAATAAAACGCAGCCGCCTCTGTATTCTTTGGATCCATGCCCAACCAAACGCTCTTTACATCATTTTCTTTTAAATTCTCCATCGCGCGTGCGATCAACTTCCGCCCCCATCCCTGCCGTTGATGGCTTGGCAGAATGTCGATGTGCAGATGGGCAGGTGCGAACGCCATCATTGCATCGCTTGCTCTTGGGAAGGTGATTATGGTGTTGATATAAACTTTATCTGCAGGCGTGAGGGCTGCGTCAGAGTCTTGCAGCAGGGGTGCATAACGGGTTCTGAGCGAGGGCCACCAGCCCGCTTCTGCACTCTCCTCGAATTTGCGGGTGTCGAAGGCGCCGAGAGTGTACCCTACGACTTCTCCGTCGTTGTCAAGGACAAAGCCCCACGTTGATTCAAGGCTGAGGTAGGGAAGAGCGTAGATAAGGCCTGGGAGGGCAGGATGGGAATGCAAGTGCTCGGATGATGTGCCCGCATTTGCGGTGAGCAAGCAAATGTTGGAGAGGGCAGACAGGTCAGCTTTTGTGGCTGGTCGGATGATGGGGGCCATGATGATGGAGGTAGAGGAAGGGGCATGACCTGAGCGCTGGAAATCACAAGGTGTGTCGTGTGATATTAGTGCATGGGTAATTCATATGGGTGCATCACCGAGGCGATGCTAAAAGAAGTTTATGGAGATGGGCTGGAAGCTCAAGTAAGAAAGCTGAGGGTAGACCTTTACTACGACCGTTGGTTGTCACAAGCCATGTCGATCTAACCCGATGAAGTTAACATGACATTATATAATATTGTAACCCCGCATGTAACCCCGCAGTAAATTGGGGTGCATGGTGCCGAATTGTGATTGGTTGCGGGCCGAATAAAGAATAGTCTAGGCCGAGGGGCCAGCCCAAATCATGCGAGTTTATAACTAGGGCACTTTCGACTTTTTTCCCTTACCGCCCCTAGTCTCGTGTCTTATCATCTTGGATTCTCGAGTACAACATCTAGACTATTCTACACGATGCTCTCGTCAGGGTACGTCGAGCAGCAGTCTTACGCCCAACAACAAGCGACTATGGCTATGAATACACTACTACCCACACCGCCCTCCTCACCACCACGGGTTGAATTACATCCTGTCGAATCGACAATTACGCTTCTCGAGAATTTAGTCGCGTTCTATCATCAGGAACGGATGTGGGTGTATCGCACACGTGCACAACTAGAGATGACACTACAAGAACGAGACGTTAGCACAGTAGCAACGGTAGATGAAGAAGGAGAGATGGAGAAGGAGGAGCCAGACTCTACTGAAGAAACATCTGAAACAAGCAAGTGGGTGAAGAGAAAGAAGGCGTTTGGATTAAAGCTAGAGGGAATTGCAACGACGAGAGGAATGCCTAGAGGTGGAATCGTGAAACAGCGTGCACCACCACCAATGTTACCGGCGTTTGCTCACAGCAACCAGACTGGAGGACAACCTGTACTTGGATCTAGTGGAAGGGAGCCTGGAGTGGAGATCTTAGAGATGTTTGAAAGGATGATGCAAGCTAGGATGGAGAGCTGCGAGCGGGTTACTAGGATGGTTAGAAACGCCAGTGGAGCTGGTTCACCAGGGTGCTCACCGCCTAACGGTCCGGTTTACGGTCAAAGTAGTTTCTTTATAGGTGCTTAGCTAAGGGTTTAGCTGATGGTGTTGGTTGTTTTTATTTATTTATTATTGATGTAATCCTCCTTCGTCTCATACCATGTCTAATCGTTATGCTCCACTCCCTAATCCACGTACGGACCCAGATTCAACAGAACTAGAAGCTGCTTTCGACGATCAAGACGACGAGGACGACGGCGGTTATGACCTAGATGAATCGAGTCCTCTGACTTATCCAAATCCTTCGAATTCTTCATCTTATAATTTCGAGTCTCCAATTTGCGACTACGACCAACCTCCTCCTGGTTCTCCCCCGCAACCATCTTCTCATGCTGTACCAAATGAATTCGGAAATTCCAATGGCATAATACCTGTCTTTACACTAGACTCTTTGCCCCCGCCCCCAACAGGGCCATGGTGGAAGCGAACCGCAACTACTATCCTACCATCCCATTATGTCAACAGATGGGGTTTCACTTCTGAAGCTAGCTCTCGCACTCCCATTGGAGGAGGTACCAGAAATGACGGTGTATTCAGCAACGTAGCTGCCAAACCATCGCAAGGCGTACGTGTTCAGGAAGGTAACCATCAATCAATCATTTATCAAAGAACGTATTGACACTTTCGCAGGAGACAACGTATACCTCGTTCCAGAAGAATCTTCGAACACAGCTCCCCCAACTTACGCAGCAGCTCAAGCTGACGCTGCTCCTCCTTACCACACTCATTCAATCTTCCTTCCCTCTTCCGTTCATGCATCCCTCACTCTCTCCCAAGGCTGTGTCGTCGTAGATGGCCTTCCCACAGGCACCCTTTTCTCCTTCCTCTGGAACGCCCTTATCAGCACCACCTTTCAATTCGTCGGCTTCGTTCTCACATGGGTCATGCACACAACCCACGCCGCTCGCTATGGCAGCAGGGCAGGTCTCGGAGTCACTTTAATCCAATGGGGCTTTGGCCTCCGCGCGCGATTAGACGACACAAATGGTACACCTATGGGCTCTGACCCAGCCGATGCCTGGCCCACATTCGCAAGCGCCCAAGACGCCAATGAGTGGTTGGACGCCAACCTCGACCGTCTTAACAACACCACACTAGCTTCTACCGACCACATATCTTCCTGGTCCAACTCCGGAGAAGGAGAAGATGGGAACAATGGATTCCTCACAAACGCAGCAGCCAGTGAATGGCTTTCCTTCTTCCTCATGACAGCCGGCTGGTTCCTCCTTCTCACAAGCGTTTTCGGTTTCTGGCGCGTCAAGCGCTGGGAACGCGGCATCATCTCCTCTTCTTCCAATTCTACCGCGTCACAGCCAACCGCAGACGATGAGACAAGGAGGCAATCACTCTTTGAGCGTCTCGGAATGTTCCGCGTTCCTTCACGAACAGGATCTTCGGGTGCAGACGGATTGGAACGGGTGCCTTCCCATATTGGTGATGATATGGTTGGCAGAGATACAACGTTGGAAATGCAATCGATCGTTCCAACCGATCCAGACCATGCACGTCGGATCAGGCGAGCAATTGAGCGCGAGCGCAGGCTGTGCGAAGACTTGCGCGCTGCAGGCCTCTTGTAAAGTCGTTCGAGCTTCAGACTTCAAGGAGCGGATGTACCGTGTATTATGCTTTTCATCGACAGACGTGTTATCTATTTTTCTAGGATTAAAACGATAATGGTCACAATCGTTCATACAGTCGTATTTATTGCAAATCTGTTTCTTGGCGCTTTTCGTCTCTCGAGATTAGATTTCATTCCAAGTACATCCTATATCCTTCTGCGCAATTTATTTCCAGTCGTCAACTATGACCGCTTCAGGAACACTTCCATGTTGAATTCTAGGGCTGAGCAAGGGTATGTGATCTCGAACTTTTCGAGTACGGTGGGGTGCAACACGCCCAGCGTGCCGATCACGATGTCTCGGTCTTGATTGATGTGAAGCGTATTCTTGAGCTCATCAGCAAGCTCACCTGTTTTTGAGGTCTTTGAGGGTGGCGGGCGGTAATAAATAGTCGCTGCGCGTCCAGGGAAGTACGCAGGATCTAAAACACATTAGTACTACGTCACGCAAAAAAGAGCCAAACATACCATATCCCCTCCTTGATGTAATATCCCACATCCTTCCCATCACCCCTCCCAACCCTCGGAACTTCCAACATCTTCATAGCCCTATCCAACAACCCATGCACGACCTCAAACCCCGCACTCCTCGAACACCACACCGCACCCGCATGTCTCTCATTTCGTGCTTGTCTCTCCCGGGATGTATCTTTGAACACAACATCGCTGAGCTCGAAAACACGGACTGGGAGTGCGTGTGAGCGGTTCTCGCGAATGGTTTTAAGGAGCCCTGGCAAGAGGGATGTGCGGACTACTTGGAATTCGAGGGTTTTTGGATTGGCAATTTTTACTGCTAGGGAACCGGGGTCGGGGCGGTTCATGAAAGAAAAGTTTTCTTCAGTGTGAGCACTATTGGATTTTGTTCAGTGTGTTTTAAGTGCGCTAAGGTGGAGGAAGGGCAAGGGAGGGAAGAGACATACGAGAATGAAAGGTAACGCTTCAACCCATCCTGCCATCGCCCATTCCCTCCGGATGACATCCGCGAGCTTGCTGATCGGTAAAGGCTGTGCGACTGTGCTGGTCTGGGGGAAGATATCTGGGAGGTTGTTGAACCCGTACGCGACTGCTGCGTCTTCCATTATGTCGACCTCGTGGAAGATGTCCGGACGCGTGCATGGAAGTGAGACAATTAGAGCGTCGGGGTCATCGGATGAGAGGGTGGGTGAGAGGGTCATGCGCGTTAAAAGGGACTGAATTGTGGAGGGCGTTAGGGAAAGAGAGGTGCAGGAGTTGATATACGAGGCACGTGCAGTCACTGTACGTGGTGTGATATCAGGAGATATGCGCGTCGAACCGTCAGGAAAGACGATCTTGCAAGGCTCGATCCTAATAACAGATCTTCAGCTCCCCGAATGAAACGACAGGCCCAAAACGACGCACGTGAAAGGCTCGGCACAATACTCCGAAAACATACTCGCCACCATATTAATCACGATCTGCAACTTCGTATCATCCGTGGCAGTTGTATCAATGAACACATTCTTAGTCTCCAGCGTGATCTTACTGTGCTCCGAATTGATGATGGGGGGCATACTCAACACGTGGTCTTTTGCATCATAAATGATTGGGTAGACATCAGAATCTCGGATGATGTGCAAGTACCGGGAGAGGTGTTTGTCCGACTCGTAAATCTGCATGAGCTCTGCAGCGGTGTGCGCTGTTTCCCTGCCGAGAGGCGCGAAAGCGATGTTAGTGGGTGTACGAGCTTCGTATCGAAACGGAGGGGTGAGGGTGTCGAGGTCATGTGTTCCGATGGCAACGAGGCTTCGCCTGCGCCCGATGTTTTGGTGTAGTTTGTCTTGGAGGTCAATGAAGGACGCGTAACTCATGGGCGTAAATTTGATGTTGCGAAGCACTGCACATGCGAAGAAAGGACGGATGCGTTGGGTCTGGGAGTGGTAATGTTTGTTAATGCGGACAATGCGAGGGGTAAGCGTACCTCTTGGGAGACAGTCACGGTGATGAGATCTTTCTCACCGCCTGGGGGATATGCGAGTGTATACTGCGGCGGATCTTGTTTTCCTAGAAAAGCGCGTAAGGCGCGGGAGATACCTTCTAGACAGACCAGATCGTATCTGCGTGCTAGTCAGATGTGCATTGCGGTTGCGCTGACTGGCAGCACACCTGTTTGCGGGTACTTCGATTTTTAATTGCTAGAGCAAGGTATAAGCACGAGTGTAATTAGTTAATTAGAAATCGAGACGCACAGGGACGTTCTGCGGGAAGTCCTTTCTTGATCGCAGCTTCTACCTCCGCTGTGGTCTTTTTATTGGTTCAGTAATTATTCCTGCGGTAGAAAAAATAAAGAATGGCGTACGTCTTCGTCTAATTCCAGTCCATAGTCAAAGCACAAACTATCGAATTCCTCCGTGGCTGCGATGTGATCAGACGTATAGAAAACACAGTTGGACGAGGACGTACTATAGTGATGTCCGAGCCGTTCGAAAAGTTCGGCTTTGTCTACTGAGATGGTGGGCATGATCGGTTAATAGAGTATACGAAGCCAGCAGTGTGTAGCTGGACTTCAGGATTGCTTTCTAGATCACACTGGTTTCAGACTTGAAGAAACTATCACTGGCAAATGATCATATCGAGTCAAGTGAGAGACCCCTGGGCACTCCAGGTTATATCGGGGTCCTACCACAGTGCTAATATTAAGTCTTTCACATGTGCACTGACTAGTCTCGTTGAACATGTATACTCCAATATCCTTCGCGCTCCTAGTAACGTCATCCCTGTTCTGCCAGCTGGTTACCTCTCAAACCCATGAATCCACCGAGTTACATCTAATACACCGTGTTGTGCACCCTGACCTTCCTGTGACACCATGGGCTGAGCTCGGAACTGTCACCGTCCCATCCTTCAAATCCATTTCACCCACTGGCTCAGCTGCCTCATTGTCACTGGCAGAGTCATTACGAGATGACCTTACAGAGTTCTCAGAGGCAGTCGATCCTAATATGCAGGGTGCAATGTACCACGTCGCAATTGAGCGTCCAGAATCGGAGGGGCCAGTATCGAGTATCAAAGCAGTCAGCCATATTTTATTCCGATTTGTGAGTGAAGGATTAATAGACTTCATATAGTGTCTACTCCCTTCCTCCACATCCGCAAATGTAGTTATCCATTTCTCTGCGACGGGAGAACCATTTGCGATCGACTATTCCGTTTCGCCTGTACCTCAAGATGGAATATGCCCTGTGACGAACATGGGGAGCTACCCGGCACATAATGCGAGTGTGGTACTCAAGTCACCACGGATGGCGCCTCTGTATGCATTCTCTCACGTTCTTGAACTTGTCTGACTTACACATCCGTGTCTGTAGACCTGAGTTGCGGATCCCACCTCCGCTTACGCCTGAAGGCGAGCCAGTAGCACCCGTCCCTGAGAAAAGTTTCGTGCAGAAGTATTGGATATATATGGTTGTTGTTCTCGGGGCATTGCGTGAGTTTTCGGTTTCTTTTGTGATGCGACATGAAGTCACTTTTATAAGTCTCAACTCGCTCGTCTGCTTCTACCTTTCCTTTGTTGCGAAGCATATACTGACTGCGTTATTCTATCAGTGATTTCTGGGCCTGCCGAGGACTCTCCTAGCGGGGATGGGAAAGGAGGGAAGTAGAATCACATAACTTATCATGTTAACTTTCTGAAGAGGCTCTGCCACTGTAAGCCGGCGCATGTCAACGCGAGGAATTGGTTCTGCCCTGATCGTGAATGCGGTTACGACGATGATACAGAAAAAGTTGTTTTTGATCAGCTGTGACAGTGCTCTTGAGCGGTCAAGTGGAAAATATATATCATCGACTTGCTTATCAAAGTAGCAGGCATTGGTCTGACAACTAGAAAAATTGTACAAGATGCAGGACACCCTTGATCACGCACTGGCTTGCATGTCTGTGATGAAGTCGAAAAATCAGTCCATCCAATGGACATGGTGGCCTATCTGGATTCCCCCCCAATTGAATAAAGCACTGCATGTGCCCCAGGTAGACAGTGAATCAAATAGTGCCTCTTTGACATTTAGAAAGTCATTTGATAGCAATCTGACATCTTAGTACATGTACATGATGTGTTTGTTTGTGGCCTGCATGTATCTATCCCAGGAAGCGCTATTTCACTGTGATCGTCAGCGACATATGTAAAGTGCCTTCGCAGTCTACATATACAGGATCACTAAAGCAACACGGTCAGGTCCAGTCCAGCCCACAATACAGATCAAACTGAGGAAGAGAACTTACTCGTCCATAGGCCAATCACCCAAGCGATGACGTATTAACGGACGAGGGATGCGACTGAATCTACAGAATGGACAGCAAGTGAACAAGGGGGCGATGGTTAGTCACATAAGAAAAATGAGTGCCTTGAGTTGACAGCTGGAACAATAAACCTACCTAGGTGCCGATGTCATTGAAAATTCTGAGGTAATGATTAGAGGTTTCGGGGTTGCACAGTCAGGCGACTTTCTGTGGGCCTCTATCCGAAGTTGATTGCTTCCTTCTACTGGCAAGCTGGGCTCTTCAAGTTGACAAGTAGCAACCCACTTTTGACCACTGCCCAAATAAACCCACAACGTCCATATACGGCCTGCATGCAGTGAATAGGACGTTCCTATCAGTACTTGAAAGATAAGTAATATCGACCACATACCCCTGGCAAGATATTCTACCGCAATTGCATTTGCAGTACGAAGGCGTTTCTGGAACATCCTGACACAGAAAGAAGCAACGAAGCGACCACTGCTCAGCTCTTGTATCTGAACCTCATCTGGAGGACAACCCAAAAACTGTCTTAAGGACTTATACTTGGCTGATAGTGCATGATCAACTAATCCTCTCTAGGGGCATGGAGTACCATGCACTCACGCTTAAACATTTCGTTCAATCCCAGCTGCGTGAACAATGTGTTGTCGCCAACCATCATGAACGCAAGATACAAATCAGAATAGCAAGCAGGCGATGGATCAGGAATGAAGTCCATAAACGCCCACAGGGCTTCTCGGCGGTTGTTCACGATCGCCCAATACAGCGCCGTGTGATCCTCGATATTGGGTTGTTGCAGGAGTTTGGAAAACTCTGCTGCTGGAAGAGTGGCAACACAGGCGCTGACAGTTTGAGCGACAAAGGAAGGACTGTAATCGGGAGAGGAGACAATTGCACGGATACATGATAGGCATTTTTCCTTGGATTGTAAAGAGGCTCGGGGAAATACCCAGCGACATAGCTTGAACCAGATGGAATCTTCCAATACCGTTGAGGTAGAAATTGCATCGTACGAGGGAGGTGCCGGAGAGTTGCAAGGGACGGTCACGCTGACATTGGACTTGGAAGTCATTGTCGTAAAAGCAAATAATAGGGGCCTGCCAAGTCCACAACGACCCGCGTGCGTCTCACGTGCCAGGGACAAGTGCGTTACAAAAAGACAAATTTCAAATGTTTATACCAGTCAATCTCGGCCTCATCCTAGCTAGCTATTAACAGATGAATGACTACCAAGCGACTTTCCACGGAACACCACATACCAGTAGCATGCGCCATTATCGATACAGCATGCCTGAACGTTAAAGACTTGAGTCGTGTGTTGGATGATGATTGGGAGTGGCATCTGCCGGGAGTAGAGTCATCGAGGAAGCGAGGGGAGCTAATATCTGAGGCATGCTGACGAGTGAGTGATTTCCACTACGACAATGACAACAAGTAATAAGATTTAGTATAAGATGCTCAAGTGCATCTCTGAAAGGTGCTTGAGAAGTCGGAAGCACCAGTCCATTTCCTCTTCAGCCACGTCGAACGTCTTCCGCATATCATGTCCAGGACTAAAAGCAGTCACACTCGCGTCAGGAAGGTGATGTGCTAGCGGTGTCGGTAAGGGGAGCTGATGCAATAAGACAATCTGCTTCTCCTTAGTACACCCAACGACCCAATGACAAAAATTTGAATACCACGACGAAACAATACAAACGAATTCTCTTGCACTCTTCAGGCTAATGCCCGGCAAGTGTAAATCATATCGAGCATCTCCCATGCTACGCACTACTGCTGGTCGACACATGGACACGATCCTGGAAAGCAATTGAAGTCATAGTGGTTGCTGTATCGGAGTCCAGTTCAGCGTTATATTCTCGAAGGCTAAGGGATAAGGCGTGGTCCTAGCTCAGACAGCTGCACCAATTTGCAAATCCAGATTATCAGATCTCAACGTCCAAGGGGAATAAAATTGATTGCACGTACAGGTCGCACCGTGACAGATCAGTATACTGTTTAGAGCGTTGGAGCGGTGATTTCCAAATAATAAATTCCTGACGTAAGAACACGCGATGAATGTTTACGAAATAGAAAAATCGTTATTGAGTAGGGCATGGTATCATTGAAAAGATGGCTTGTGTTGGTGCGCAATCATGAGACGCCTACAAAGGCCACCGCCCAATCCCATTGTTCATCACTCCCCCAAGTGCCAATATATCGGCAGGGGATGAAAGTGGTTGCAGGCATATTGTCTCCGAACAGGACGCGCGAGACTGACGACCCTGTTCGAAAACCGATTATCAGCACAAACATCTCGGAGTCTGAGATCCAACGTACAACTAGGTGAAAAATGAGCTTCTACTCTGTAGAACAATCTTGCTGAGAGTGCTGTTGCCCAAAATGCACTGAGCAACGGTATTTTTTCAAGTTCTATTGCATCCTCCCGCGATGGATGTCCACGAGCGCAGATAACCACGCACTGCGGCGAGGTCCCCGACACGTCAAATCGAGAAACTTGCCAGTTCAATATGGGCGGCCTGGTCGAACTGAGGATCACTTCGCTCGACACTTTTGTGCCGCACTCGGGATCAACATCCCCTGAAAATGCGTGAGCACAGGAGGCCAATTCCTACTTGTCCTACACACCAGATAGGAACTCTGCAGTGCGCAATATCTGGGTGCGTTCGGCATGGATATCCCCTGGAAATACGTGAGTACATTAGGACGATGCAAATACGCATGCACCTACCAGACACAAACTCCGGAGTGCGAGATACTTGTATGAACGTGTCTTCGTCTTCGTCTAGGATCGTGAATTTGCCTGTATGCACCAATACTTGTTTCTCGACGCGTGCACCGCGCGGGAGGGACGCGACTACCAAGAACAATGTTGGGGTTTCCTACAAAATTAATATTAATATCAATCTTGATTGCAAGTTTTTAATCTCTTGGCTCACCTCGCAAAACGTTTCACAAGCCCGTCGAGTGTGTATAGTATCAGCATAGTCAACAAGCCAATAAAGCGAAAGCAGCACATGACCCCCTGCAGTGTTGGCGGCGCGAATGACGCGATCCGTGTGCTGGAACACCAACGCAGTTTCAAGTGCCAACGAAGATGGAGAAGGGAGCGTTAAAGACGCAGGAAGTAGACCGATCTGGCCGGATACGAAAACATACGGCTCCACCTGATCCAGATATTAGAAAGGTCTCTCGTCGCAAAAGGCTGGACACACGGTGACAGCTTGTGAATAAGGACCAATATTAGCAGGTGCCCAGTAGCTCAAACTCTGTACATGGAGCGCTCTCCTTGTGTTATCCTTGCGCGCGACGCACTCAAGAATCACACCCACCCCCTCGGGAAGATCTACACCCACACAAGCTCTCGAAGGAGGCGAGACACCGAAGAACTCGGCGTATGCCTTGTTTGCAGCTGCGAATATCTTGGGAGCAAGGGAAGGCAGTAAGAGTGTGATATTAGCTACATCTTCTATGTGTAGATCGTGCGATTGAAGAATTCCTGTAGGCCGATTGGGACTGGATATGAAAATGATGTGAATGGTAGATTGATACCTTGTAGTTGAATGAAGCAGTCGCGAACTTGTTCCTCCTGGGGTATTTCTGAGTGTAGAGAAAAGTTTGAGTGGATGTTTCCGACCGCAAGCCATGATCCGATAGCATGTGTTGATGGATGGTCTGGGATGTGGTGCAGTTTGTTGGTCGGTTCATATGTCCCGCTAGAACCCTTTTCGTATTGCTCCAGGACTGAAGTTTCGACCACGTTCTTCAATTCACCGAATCTATCATCCAAGAGTGGCAGAACTTCGACCTTGCCATCTGTAGATGACTCCTTGGGATGAAGCGAAGCTTGTTTGATACGCAAATATGCAACAGGCGCAAAATCATTGTCCGTATGCATCACGATTTCTGTTCCATCCAGCACAATACGATGTTTGAACGACGGGCTGTCAAGAGTAAGAGTTTCATATTCTCCGCCTTCACCACAGATATGCAAACCATAAAGGTTGTTCTACGAGAAAATGAATCAATTTGTTTGTGTAGAAGCAATGGACGCACCAATCGCGTGAGGGTGTCCTGCATTTCGTTTAATGTTTTTCCTAGGTGTTTCACTGTCAGACCGATGCCTGCTACTTTTATGAGCACGCTTTTAAGCCCGGCTGCAATCATCTCGGACAGCAATTCGGCTTGATCGCGCTGCCAGAGGTAGGCTAAGGGTGTAAGGGAAAGACGACGACACCTGTTGAGCGTGAACATTACAAACTGAATTATACGTGGCCAATACGCACACATGTTCGACGCGAACGCGTTGGTAATTTGAGAGAATAGCGCCGACTGAGACACCTTGCACATCCGGGTGGTGAACCTGGTTTACTATGAGACTAGGGTGAGATAAGTTGGCAAGAGTTAGATCTGACCTTGACACGCTTTAATAAAGTATAGAGATCCTCCGTTTCATCTCCTAGCACGCCAGCTCCACCAGCACTACGCGAACCATACTCTGCATTTTGCTCGATAGCATCACCTTGTATGACGTGTCGATAGAGCGGAACTTCGAGAGCGCGAGCTACAAATTTGATCGCGTCTTGGCCTACTGTCTGGTACATATACGAGTCGATCTCATCTATGGAGATGAGGCGCTTTCGTGAAAGAAAAATAAAGTCAGACCTTTTCCTGATTGCGGGGAGAGTGTCGCTGCAGCTATAAGTTGGTGACCATTGGCGTTGCAGTGGGACAAGTTGTAACAGCTGTCTTTCCCTCCACTAAGGAGTGCGACGTACTTCATTGCAATAAACGATAAACGATGTTAAATTGGCCGATTACCCTACAAAGCGGCGTTATGTAAGCTGGTGTCTAGAGCTACCGCTGACGAGGTACTTACTATATGTGGTGCCTGAGTTACATCAGTAGCGTAGTTAGCCAATGAAAATCGTTTATCGTTTATCGTACCAAAACAGAATATAAACGAAAATTAAGCCACCATAAAATATGGAAAAAGATAAACGTAGATCTAATGAAGAATGCCAAGCAGAAATGAAAATATAAATAATCATTAGAATGCAGGCAAAGGCGGTAACGGTATTAGTAAAAGCAAGAAGGTACCAATGCAGTCTAGATGCTGCTATCTATGTGCTGCACTATGAAATGTCTTGGACTTTATGAGGAAACGAATGTTGAAATTCAAATGATGGGAAACGCTAACATTTGAAGGGTGCAGATGGAATCGTTGACACGGTGCAGAATATGAATCTACGCAAGTACAAAATGTGACAAGGTTGTTGGGTTACTGGGCGAAGGCCCGCAGGGCCTTTCCAGTCTGAAACTCGAAACCGAACCTGGTATAGCAAGGTGAGCTGTGTTCCCGATGGTTTAGGAGGGCTACGACGCATATGGCAAAGCTTGGTGCCCTATGAAAAGAAGGAGTGGACTCACTAATTGCTTCGCTCTAGTGCACCGGTGGTAGTGTGTACCTCGTGAATGGTTCTAGAGTGGGCGACGATTGGATGTATGGAGCTAGGATTTTTGCATGGTCTTGCAAATAGATGGTGAATGCCTCGCTCGACCACCTCCCCATTGTTTTGACTACGTCGAAAGGTACTCCTCTCAACAGGTACTCCAACGTTCCCCCGATATGCAGCCCATGACCCTTGAGGTCTGGTAAACCTGCTGCGCTCGCTGCTAGTGCTAGTCATTTGACAAATTCCGACTTCGATAGCAGTCTTAGGCCTTTGTTGTGTTTCCACATGAAAAGGTGTTCTTCATCTCCTCCTGGGTTCACTCGTAAGTGATTCTGCATGGCTTCCTTTGGGTCTGTGGGGCCGTTCTGAGCAGCCCAATAGGTCTCTTTGCCCGAAAGAGGTGATGATTTCGTGCTGGGTAGTGCGAACTTGGTTACTGGTAGATTATTGCGGTCAGTGGCTTCAGACATTCTGTTTCTTGTGATGTGTTTGCATGGGTCAAAACATTTGATTGTTTTGACCGTGAATTCACCTAAACGTGCTATAGAGTAGAACATTGTCATCATGCAGGTGTAGAAAGCTGCGTCAAGCGGTTTGTTTAAGTCCATCTGGTTGCGGATGCATGTGATGAAGTTGGGAGTTGAACGGCTGTCTCTTTGGACACTTCGAAGATGGAGGAGCGAGGACCGATGTACCTTTGAGTAATGTTTTAAGCTCTCCCGGTTGGATCATCCAGGCTCTACCATGGAGTAAGTGCCAGGCTTTAATGCCGGCTACGAAGTTTGCTATTGCTGACCCTGAATAGGAACCAGCACAGCTGGACAGGAACTCTAGGAGAAGGTTGGGGTTAACGGGGCAACACTTGTCCTCTTCAACGTGGTTGATATCGCAGTATACGTGGAAAACTAAGAGACCCGCCCCATACGTCTCCTTTGTGGATTGCGCCCACACTGACCCTATCACATCTAGGATTCGATCCAATTGTTCATCCGATACCTCGTGGTTCTGCGACTTCTCTAGCGTCGACGCTAGTTGCCTGGTACTCTCTCCTGCTGGTACCCAAAGCCTTAATCGATCTCGTGCTAGACAGTGTGGGTGAAGGACTGAAGGGCGCGGTGTTAGGGACTGTTTGTAGATTGAGGGGGTAGCTATTTGTACTGGTTGGCTTTGGGCTAACGGAGCTCCGAACTGTGAGCGGCTCTGAGAGTCATTCATTTCGGAGCGCTGCACTGATGTACCTTTCTTCTTCTGCTCGAGAGATCTCTTGTTGTTCTGCTGCTCTTTGCTTGATGAGTGCTCGATTGATGAGCTTAGCTGCGGGAACGGAGTATTTCCCGTCCTGCAGTAGCCGTAGTTCAGTGGGGGATAGAGGTTGGGTTGCATCGATGAGGAACGGCTCAAGCTCACTAGCGATACTGATGGGGGGAAGAAGAAGGTGGGTGGGTCTGAGAATGCCTCTAGATGGGCTGTCTGCAGGGTTGTGCTCGCTCACGACGTATGTAGTGACAATTTCGAGACGGTAAGGTAGATTGTGGAGGAAATCATGGATTCTTCTGAACACCCCGTTGACTTCTTTATTACAATGTCTGTGTTTCCACCAACCTTCCACGACTCTGGTGTTGTCTCCATGGACGAGGACATTGCTGCTAGTGCCAGGGAGAGAGGCGATGGCATGTACGAGGAGTTCGAAGCCAATGGCTTCTGCCCAGCCAATATCTCATTTGCCATTGAGGGTTTGCCAACCTGGAATTAGTCTCCACGCTCTCCAATAATCGCCAATGACTATCCCTATTCCTATTCCAGAGCTCATGTCGGAGAATGCTAGAGGGTTCTGGAGTGGGGGAGTAGCGAAGATGTCGCAGGCCACACCACCAGATTGAAGTAGTTCGGACCACCAATTAAGGTCTTTGGCTACTGTTTTCCCAGCCCTTCGGGGTAAGAAAGGGTTGGATTGACTAACCACTAGCATATCCTTGAGGCTGGTGATGTATGCTCTGCCTCGAGGTGCTGCGGCACACGCATGCAACAACTTGCTGTAAAGTTCTTGAACGTCCTGGAGGATGTGTGCGTGACGCTTCCTCCATCTGTGTATGGCCACTAAGTACTTGGCTACCTTAGCCTTGCTTAATGCTACTATCATTAGTTTGAGGTTCCAACAGAAACCTATGTAAATCATGGACATGTTGAAAAGTTGGTCTTTCAAGACCTCCCAGATTAGGCCTAGCTCGTCTGATAGGTTATTTATGTCCTGTAGGCAGAACATAAATAGGGCATTGTGTTTCGAATGAGGTGACTGGTTCGAGAGGTCAATTAAGGGCTGCGCGCGACTTTCGTTTGATTCTTCTATTTTTCCACTGATAGGACAACGTTCACCGAACCAGAGTCTTCCTTCCGTTTGCCTTAAGCCAGAACTGGCGAATTTCTTATGCCATGTCTTTCTGTCTGTTACAAGTAACATCGGTCACGTGGCCCCCCTATCATTTTCCCTTCATCCTCGCCCTCACCATCTACCGGCTCGTCCTCCTTTACCGACTTTCCGTTGACCGGATCCTCGGGACCGTTCCCGTCCCTCGCATCGCCCGCCTCTATGCACGTGCACGCATGTTCCTCCCTTGATTCGACCACCAATGTGGTCCCGCACCTATGACCCGGTCTGACTCGTGCCACCAATGTGGCTTTCCTCTTTCTGTTCCCTCTGACTGCGGATTCCCGCACGTTGTATTCTTACCGTTGGTTCGTTCCAACGTTTCTCGGTCTCATTCCACATTCGACCACCCATCACTAATCCGGCTGTGTTGCCAACGCACCTATACCATTCTCGTTTCCCCTTTACCCTTACCTACTGTGCGGTAGCCTTGCCCTTAACCCTCTCCACTTAGTATAAGTAGTCGGTCACCCTGTACTAGATTCTCTAACTTGAATCTACTCAATCTTCCCTGGAACATACTTCCCTCTGAACGCCCCTTTGGCTTCAGTCTCTAGTATCTTTTCTTAGTTGCTCATCGCAACTAAGTCTACCTCGATCGACCTCATCGTACGGACAAGACAGTCCTTACCTTGAGTGACTTCACAGACATCCGTCTACGAAGTCACGTGACACGCGCGTACTGTGATCGCTGCCAACTCGTCGTCGCCAGTATCACTTGCTATACCGGATCCTTCCGGTTACGTCACGAACGTTAGCGGACGACGCCCCTCTTAGGGCTCCGCCTAACAGATCTATTTGAGTGCGTAACACTGTTTTCGTTATAACGTTCGAGAAATTCGCGACGTATCCTGAAAAAGATGTGGTCATCTACCCACTTGTCTAACAGTCTGATGCCTTCATGTCAAAATATTTCGGCTCTGGCATCAGCTATGTGACCGTAGATTCCTGCCAAAGGCGTTGTGCTGAAGGCTGTACAGGTATCCACGCAAAAGGATGTCTCCAAAACTCTGACTATACCTGCCGGCCATTGGGATTCATGTAGCAGTACTGTTTGGTAAGCTTCAGCTATGTCCCGAGTCGCTACTTCTGACCCTGGAGGAAGATTGGCTATTAAGTCATAGATTATCGAGAATTTTCCCCATGTTGTTGGAAAATCGTTAGCGTTTATGCTCGAATTCACTGACGCGTTTGCGAATGTCGCATTGATTTTGTGTGGGAATGAGAAGATCTGAATGAGTCGAAACTTTCCAGGTTTGCCTGGTTTTGGAATAATGGACAATGGGGACGATTGGAAAGGTCCGATCAGTCGTTCTAAGGTGTCAGCATCAAAAGGGCCAATGTATCTTCCTTTGTTGATCTCTTTTTGGATAATGGCACGAAATTCGATAGCAAACTCGCTAATTGAGTCTTTATTAGGGGGGGTTTGTACATTGGTGATAACGGGAAAATCTATTTTGAAGCCGCTATGAAGGCCGTCTGCAATATTCGCGAAACGTTTAGCTAACTCTGGGTGATTGAGCGCGCGAGTCCAAGCTTCTGCCTTATACAGTGTTAGTGGATTCTGCTTTCTGCACTCAAGCGCATCTTTGGGCTCCATGAGTGGTGGCCCCGCACCCTGAGCACACATGTTTGGTGTTGTGTCTGGCCACAGTACAGCCCTCTTCACGCTGCCAGGCAGTGCAGAGCTGTTTTCCGTCTTTCGTCCACAGACCCTTGTGGATGTGTTCCGCAAAGGTCTCGTGTTGCTTATCCCATGTGTGGGAGGCCATGCACTTGATGGTCTTGTGGGGGTTTTGTCCGAGGCACACTGCGCAGCATGGGAGGGGACCAGATGCAGGAGGTGCACGAATGGTGCGTACCTTCTTGTTAAAGTTTGATACTTCTTCTGCTGGTGGGAGAGGGCATTTTTGCCCGCTGGCAACTTGGTGCATTGAAGCCATCTGTGGCGGCCATAGTGAGTCTAGGTTGCTGGTGATGAATGCCGCCGCTGCTTGCTGTGATAGCAAGTGATGCGTCCACATGTGGTATGTGGTTTCGGTTGCGCGCGGTGTGCATCCCGGGGGGTGTTCAGTTGTGATAACTGATGTTCGTGATGAACATTTGTCGTTAAGACAGCCCCAATAGACAGTGTGATGTGTCATTGGGTGTGAGGTTGTGATAACCCGCATTTGCAATTGGTGTTATTGGCATGTGATTGGCCAATAACATTTTTAAAAGGGATGTGATAGCCCAAAGGAGAAGGTAGTGTGGTTTTGAAGGTGTTCGAAATGGTGAGAAGACGGTGTAGCACTCGGATCGGCGCTGGGCTCGTATCCTGCCAAACACATAGGTATTCCACATACACATTCCTCGACACTCCATTTACCTTCCGAGAGTTCCATGTGTTCGTCCGAGTTGTCTGAAGGTTGTCCGTCCATTTCCGAGGCCTGTACACAGTTCCGATCCTCCATACCATGTCCCGTCCGTGTCCGTTTGACTTCGCTGGTGCGTTTTCCACTTGGTTATCTGTTATTGATTATGTTTAGGGGCACATATGTTGTCGGCCCGTCAGTTATACGCATAACAAACACGCCCTGTGCCTTATTACATGCATATCTCTGTAGCGGCTCGCCTTGAGTCTTATTACATTTCGGATGTCTTATCTGGCTACTGGTTTTGCCTACGCAATTTCTGGACTTTCACGCTGTAGGATATAATCTGTCTCGCTAGATACTCGCACTTCACTTCACTTTCCCTGCTACGAGTCATAGTTAGTAGAGTCACTTTCGGATAGTCGTACTTCGCGCAATCGACCTTGTTCATTCTGAACAATTGTTTGGCCTGACCGCTGCCATTTTGCTCTTCGCTGTCTCTAAGTTCTCCTGATAGTCTTTGCTTAGTTATACTTCATGAAGTCTTATACTTCGATACACCCGCCATACTTCTCTCGGAACCTTCGCTGTTCATTGGAAGCTCTTCGGACGCTTTGCGCAACCTCGGACCTTCGTTTCTAGACGTCGGACCACCTTCGGACCACTTCAGACGAGTACTTTGGTACTTCGGACATATCCTCGGAACACTGAGTGAACTCTTGGTAACTTTCCTTCTCTCACTTCGATCTTAACAAGATATCCCTTGCTTTATATCAAGGAGCATTTCTATAGGCAGTCTCTTTGGGACGAACATCTCACTCGCACTCTGAGTCTTAAGGTAACACTTTTGTAGCGCCCACATAGAATCAACTCTTTACAACGGGCTTGCGGGAGGGATTATGACTGACCTGTACTGCCATTGCTGTCTCCTTCTCGCGTTTCTCGTTAAACAGTTCCTCCCTCACCTCCAACAGCAAGTCTTGATTGATTTCTTCCAAGCTCCAGCCTTGCGCGGTTCCTATGGTGAGGTGCCAGCGGCGGCGTTGTTGGGATTGGTATAGTAACAATGCTCTTTGTATGAGGGGGTTGGGTGCATGGCACCAGTGATGAGACTGTAACGCTGTCCAGAATTGAACATGCATGTCCAACCGGTCGTCCGGCCAGTCATGCATTTTCATGGAAAGGATCATGCGCGGTGCAGCTTCATTGAACTCTTCCCAGGTAAGATTTTCGTCCTTGACTACAGGTGCTGCTTTCGGGTCCTTGACCGCCGCTGCAGGGACCCAGGAATGGATTCCGTCTGCAGCGGGTAACATCACCAGCACGTCTGGTTCGGCGATGGATGTTGATACTCTGGCATCGTCTAAACCCTTGTTAGTGAAATAATGTAATTCACAGTAGTCACCTGCTTTGAGTTTCCGAGTCGCATACTGCGCTGGAAGGATAGTGGGGTCCAAAGGAACTTTTCCGCGCTTGATGGGCGCGTACTTGTTTTTATTCTTCTTTCTCTCTTCTAGCCGTGCTGCTTCTTCCTCGTCTCTGCGGTCTTGTTGTCTTTGGAGCTCATCCTCCTCTGCTTGCTGACGGGCTTTGCACAGGCGATCTTGTCTGTCTGCCCAATGCTGTTTCTCTGCGTTGTTGTTCATGTTCCATAAAGCTGTAAGGGACTGAACGGCTTGTTGTTCAGATAGACCTTCATTTATCAGTGGTTGACGTTCATGCTGGTACTCAGCTAGAGCATAGTCCGGTCTGACAGCTTTGTTTGGATTAACGTTGACCATGTCGGAAAAGGTGTAGCAAAAATGTAGAACTAGATGCTTATACTGAAGCTGATAGATGAGTACGATGTGGGCAGAAGCAAGAGGTTCTGCGCCACTTTGCTTATTTGCGCTGTAGCACTCAAGCTCACGCTAGGCTCGTATCCAGCTATTTTCTGATACATGTCAAACATCTGAATCACTTCCCAATGTTATCCGACACTCATCCGCTCAATCCGACGCTAACCCACTCAATCCGATGTTTATCCGCTAAACCCGACGCTAATCCGATGGACCTGACATTTCCTGCGCATCGGACCCAATATTTTCCCGCACACTGGTCCTCCCTATGTCTTGTCCCGTCGTATCTATCCCCACTAGGTGCGCAGTTATCAGTTTTCACGTCGCTAACACTGTAGAACGCGTTATTACATGTCCGCAGTACATTGTGTCTTATTACATAGGACATCGGACCCGAAAATCAGCGCTACTACATTCGCCTATAGCACTCCGAATTTCTACATAGACACTATATATTTCGCATACCTCCTACCTATTTACTTACCTTTCTACCTCCAAGTAGGAGGAGGTCATCTGATATTCATAGTTCTTAGTTGGATTCCGCAATATCATCCATTCTTTATCCGAAACATCTGACAGTAACCCGCCATTCGCTATCCCTGACATTCGCTATATTCCTGACGCAAGCCGGACGATAACCCAACGCAACCCGAGGCAAACCCGCTAACCCGAAACCTGAAAACCTCAGACCCGACATTTTTGACATTGGACTCATAATTATACCTTTGGACTTTGTTTCCCGTGCTTCGGACTATCTCCCTTTTGATATAACTGATTATTCTAATACCAACAGCAAGCCCCTCGGGTCGAACGCACTTGTCTTGCAAGTATAGCAGACTAGGCTGTGCACGACCACAACATTTTTTATATTGCTGGCTACTTACTTCGTGTAGTGCTCAGCAATTGTTGTATCTCTACAGCGCGTAGACTTACTTCTACGTTAGCCTCGTGCCTCGGCTAACTTAGAATGCCATTTTCTGTAATTATAAAATAAATATAAATAGACAATAATAACATGAATACTTACTCTGATTTGTTTTCCCTTCAGGTTGCGCAGTCACACCAGGTTGTGCCATGAGGTGATTACACCTGGCAAGATATCAGTATTATGTAATAAAAATATTAGTTAGATTTGGACGTACCTAGTGCTGCAAGTATCTGGCAATTGCTTAAAATGAAATAAGCAATAGGAGCCGATTGCAGGACACCTTGGCCGGCGATGCCGCAGATGATGAGGATGCCTAAAGAGGTATACCTTGCATATTTTAGGGGTTCGGATAACACCCGTTCGGCATAGTCAGCCAACTCGGAGTTTTTGATACCTTCTAAAAATGCATCATGGCTGGTTCCGGCTAACCTCATGAGGACTGGCACAGCCATGCATCAATTAATGACTCATTATGAAAATTTGAATTTTACTCATCACATATGAGCGTGCTCATTGGAGGAGGAGCGGATGTAGTAACATTTGACTGGGTCCCCGGCATATTTGGGGGTAGGGGCTGTTGGGACACAGACACGGTTGTGGTTGTGATTGGGGGTTTTTGTGTCATCTCAGAAAGATAGGGAACTTGAGTTTCAATATACATTTATATACTACATTCTCCATGGGTCGGATGTCTTGGATGTCCCGGATATTCCAGGATTCGAAATATTCTGTGACATTCTGTGTTCACTTCGAATTCTTTTGTAGTTACAGATTGGCATAAATTCTAACTGTACCGGCAGCAGTGTGCTCCGAAGGTAATTAATTTGATTGATCGATCTCGGGCAGTAGACTTATTCCCACAGAAGCAATTTGCATTCATCATATCTACATATTGTTGTCGACAGCCATGTGCACGCTCCAATTTATCTGAGCATTATTTGCCATGAAGTGGTGCATACATATACAGTATTATGGCTCAGCAGCTGGTTCGCATGCGTTGTTACTATCCTCAAGAGGTGTGCGATCGAGTAGTTCAAGACACTAACCTGTCATAACTTGGGTACCCCCTATGCCTACTGTGACAGCGTGATGACAGCGTTACTGATCATGTAATTTAGCCATATTAGGTAGTCGTTCGTCGTACAATGTTAAGTCAAAATGAATCAATTCAACTATCACAAAGCAAAACAGACAGCTGCAGCATGAAAATGAGTACGTATGCGACTGGAATAGGTGCGTAAAGTAAGTAATCAAGCACTAAGTACAGCAAGAGCAATCGGAGCAGTCAGAATGGTCGTTCGAGCCTTCTTTGATGAACGGGATGAGCCTGCTTGTGCTCCAGCATGTTTGGAACCATGAGAAACTAACAGAGGCACATTCTCCTTGCCAATCTTGTCTGGAGGAGTGTAGGAAGGCTGCCAATGAGTCTTCGGGATGCGTGAAGCAGTCTGCTCCAGGTCCGTGAGCCTCATCTCCTTCCAAACACTTACAGGCAGCGGTAAACCAACATCTCTCTGTCCCAGTACCATATACTCCTCATGCTCCCAGAAGATATGCTTGTGCATATTGTAGCGCCAAACGGCGCCCACTGGGATGACTGCCGTCTTTCTCATTCCCTTGCCGGGTGCCAGAGGGAGAATGGGATGGCAAAGCTCACATTTAAGTGGCAAGTTGCGGCATCGGGTATTCTTCAAACCGGTCTCGGCGGATGCATATCGGAATTGGTGCTGGTACATGCACTTCGTGTCCCATGTTGTTGCAGTATTTGATGATTGGCTGTCGGTTGAGGATTGTCGACTCAGAGAGCGAGAATTAAGTGAGGTATAGTCAAGTATACTATGAGATGAGCTATGCAAATGATTGTCCGTGTGTGATTAGTGCTGCTGTGGTCTGGTTCGGTCCAGTTCAGAGGGTCCTGGACGAGAACCGAGAACCGGACCATGGTCCGGTTCTGCAAAATCTTCGAACCCCAAACTGGACCACAGAGAACGGTTCTCTGTGGTCCGGTTCAGTTTTTTTCTGGTCCGAACTCGAACCGAACCCGAAAATTTTCAGTGGCAAGCGCGAAAAACAAAACATTGAAATACTAGTTTACACATCGAGTAGCTACTCTAATGATGACTCCATACCCCTCTGCCTCTGTAGCTGCTGAAGATGCTGACGTGGCCGGCGCTTCAGAAAAAATTGTGATGCTGGTGGCCGCAGGATTCTCCGAAAAGTGGAAAGCCCACATGATGAGAGCTGTATTGATGAACACTGACCAATTCGCGAGGACACACTCTGACATTTTCAAGTAAGGCGTAAGAAATGGTCGAGAGATGAACGATACTAACCGACGGCCAAAGCCAAAAGTGAAAAACCGGAGATCAACCGGAGATCATCGTGCGCGACCTGCATCGTCAATCCAACGCTGAGGATTAAACCTGTGTGGTTTGGGGAAGACTTCAGGATCATTTGCGATAGCCCTGAAGCATAAGCGTCAAACCCAAAGGTGAGAGGACGAAAATGATGGTAGTTCTTCCAAATGATGTCCTCAATCGCGCGATGCGCAAAGCCTGTAGTGCAAGGTGATCGTTCAACATTGCGTCATCACAACTCAAATAAAATGTACCTCCAAAAACTCTCATCGTATTGAAAGATTGGGTCATGTCCAGCGGGGTGAGAGACAACGGGTGAGAGACAGAGGGTGAGAGACAGTGGGCGAGTGAGACACGGCGAGCGAGCCAGCAAAAGCCAGCCGGCAAGAACAGCAAGCGAGTGAGAGGGGATGCAGTGAGGTGGCAGGCATCAACATAGGTGCAGGTGGCGTGGCGTGTGATGGGTTGTGCGCTGGTAGCGATGGGTGCTGGCCCTCGAGGGAGCCATCAGCATTCAGAGCACAAATACGCACCTCTGCAGCATAGTGCAAGACACAATCCCTCCAAAATCCACCTTGACCGCGCCTAACATATCAACCTCCAGTAAAAGGTAGTCTTGCGCAGTGTTGTAGCCGGTCCTCAATGAATAGAACTTCCTGTTATAGAGGTGAGCGGGTGAGAGACTTGAGAGTTTAATTAGTTAGTGCTTACCGGTATACCTTCGAAAAGGCTAAATGTAGCTTGATTAATCAACAATGTGAATCCTGAAGACAACAGTCTGACGTCGAGGCAGGTGTTGTCGAAGTCGAAGTCGATAAGGGTTCGGAATGGTTCAGGAAGGCCGAACCAGAACTGGACCGTTTGGGAAGATCTAGAACCGAGAACTGTTTTCCGGTCCGGTTCTGGCTGGCACAAGAACCATGGACCGAACCGCAGAGAACCGGACCAAAAGTCCGGTTCGAACCATGGTTCTGGACCGGACCGCGGCAGCACTATGTGTGATGGTACTTGAAAATCTATAGTCGGTGTCTGCAAATGTCCAGATGATGTATCAGAATAATGTGAATGATGATTTGATCTGTAATGCGTCATTTGATAGGAATCGTCCTCGAAGTCCGTGATGTATGCAGTTTTGTCATTGTTATTACTTGAAGCAAACCATGAGTCGTAACGTGTAAATTGATGAGTCGTAGAATACATAATGAATGAGGTTTAAGAGAGAGAGATGCGAGTCGTTGACGAGACGCGTCGAATCGATATTGACGCGTCGTATTGATATTAATCACTCACATGTTCTCGAAAATCACATCCAAGATCTGACATTTAGCAGGTACCGTCTTTACATGCTCGTGTTTCATTAAAATAACTATCTAAACCTATTCTACAGTAGTAAAAACACCCCCTTTACAGTACTCGCCTAACGATTTTACGATGATTTGAGGCCGCTGGCGAGGAACTCAAAACGTGTCGCTCGTAACTTCATGTGGCTATGTATTAAGGTTTTTTTACTTATCTAATGTTGAGCTCTGTGTTCGGGATTTTGCGAATGCACACCTCTTGACTATCCTCCTGCTCATCCTCGCCTCCATCACTCTGGGTCCGTCCACCAATGTTGTCGAAAACCGCCGTCATCGAGATGCCGCCGCCCCCACTCAACGCAGAGCTTCAACTGGAGTGGCAAGGGCAAGAAAAGCAAGCGCACGTCTCACACTGGGCAAGACATGCTCCCAGCGATCCGTCCTTTCGTGAGCATCAGAACCATCTCAGACGCGAGCGTCATCACCTGCAGCCGCTCTCCATCATCAGTTCAACGGTGTGTTGACATTGTGTATTCTCTTCGATTTCTTAACCTGCTGGTAGAGTCTTTGTCTCCACTGACATCGCTTCCTCCATCTTCTTCTCCAACGCCCTTCGCGGTCAACGAGCGACCTGCCGTAAAACGTCCTGCACCGTGATGGATCTTACTACTTTGCAACAACCCTCCACCGCCAATCACGCCATCTACATGGAATTGCTGCTGCAGCCACTTCAATGCTCTACTTCTTTCAACGGAGTCGAATACTAGTATATTTTGCTGTGGAAATGGCGCTCTATTTTTGCCTCCTTTGCATCCTCTTCCTCCCCGAATGCGCGCTCTGTTGAATGAGCCCATACGACTTTGGCACGTTATGGAATTCTGTCGCGTCAGTCCGCAGGCGAGCGGACGGCTTGTTTATTGTATCTATCTCATTTGTTTTATACCGACCTCTATTTACTTGTTTTCACTGGGCGTGAGGCCTTGAGGTATAGCAAACGGGCGATAGACAAGTGATAGACATGAATACGGAAAACTTATATGCGAGATACAGCGGTTGAAAATATAATGTATGATACAACGATTTGTCCACCCTAGATCACAAGAAAATCAGGGCTCCTCTTCAGCCTTGAGCTCCTCCAGCACAGCAAGCCCACTCCTCATCTGACGCTCTGTCTTGGTGGGTGGCACCATACGACAGGCAGCAGCGCCGATCAGCGTGCACAAACCTCCGAACCGCAGGACCCATGCTACGCCATTCTTACCCAGGTATGTGTTGTGATCGGGCTCGAGATCGGGAGAGGGAGTGACGACGTCGGTGGTTTCGTCTACGATACGGAATATCACAGATGAGACGAGGGCGATCTAAACGGGAGGAGCTGAGTGAGGTTTCAAGGTAACAGATCGACAAGACTTACGATAAATTGTGGCATCACGATAGCAAGGTTATGGATGCCGAGGATCGTGCCTCCTGCTGGCCTGGTCTCACTATCGCTGACCTCACCCTCAGTATCAGAATTTGATTCGACCTCTGTGGAACGGCCAAGTAAAGGATCTTGCTCGGAGGCTTCAGTTGTCGCTTCAGGTGTATGGGGAATCTTTGCATGTATCTCTTTCAACAGCTACAATTCACGACAATTCAACTCAAATTCAGTTGGGAAAGAACACGACTGACCTCCATGATAATGGCGAACGGCACCCAACATGCAACAGCCCAACATATCCCAACCAAACTGATTGCGACCGTAGCTTGCTTGACGGTGCTTATCCAGAATGTAGAGAACGTTAGCAAAGTGAACAAGATCATCGCCGCTGTCCATATGTCCCGGAGGAGCCATGGCATCTTGGGAAGTTTTATAGTGCCTTCTTGACGCCACATGTGAAGTCTACCGCGGAAACGTTCAATCTGAGCATCTTCATCATCACCTTCTACAGGGAGAAGACGATGGTCACGTCGTGCACAAAGGGGAAGTA